TCAAAGTCACGACGAAAACGGAACCTCAGCAGAAGTTACATCCACTCGTGGCCAGAGTCGTGGATGAATTTCGTGACGTGTTTCCCGACAAGTTACCCAACACGTTACCACCGCCGCGTGGGATTGAGTTCGATTTGACAATGAAGCCTGACGCGAGACCCCAGCACCGACCCCCGTTCCGTTTGTCCAAGGTAGAAGCAGGTTCTTTGGACACGTTCGTCGACGATCTGTTGCAAAAGGGCTGGATCGAGCTCTCGAACAGCGACTGGGTATCCAACATCTTCGGTGTTCCCAAGCGTAGTGATGATGGTCAGATGCTTTCACGCCGTGAGTGGCTTCGTACCGCCACGCCCGACACTCCTATACGATGGGTGTTGGATTACCGCCATGTCAACTCTCAGTCCATCGTGCCAAAGATCCCGCTGCCCAACATTGAAGACCTGTTTGACCGTATGCACGGATGCCGAGTCTTTACGAAGATCGACTTAGCGTCTGGCTACCACCAAATGCTCGTGATGCCATCAGCAAGGAAGTACACCGCCTTCAGGACCCATCGCGATGTTTATGAATGGGTAGTGGCCCCAATGGGTATAGCAGGCATCTGGTCTCGCCTTATGCGTCGATTGTTTGACAAGTTCGACTTTGTCGTGGTGTACATGGAAGACATTTGTGTGTTCTCGCGGATGATCGAAGAGCACGTTGATCATTTGCGTTCAATTTGCACTGTCCTTCGCACCGAGAAGCTGTACGCGCGTCCATCCAAGTGTTCGTTTGGTGTCGACTCTGTCAACTTTTTGGGTCACACCATTTCGAAAGATGGCCTCCACGTGGACCAGTCCAAAGTCCGTGCTATCGAAAAATGGCCGGAGCCTCAGTCGAGCAAAGACGTCATGAGTTTTGTCGGTCTTGCCAGTTACTACCGCAAGTTCATCCCCGACTTCGCGGAGCTCGTCCGTCCCCTTAGTGGATTGTTGAAGAAAGGTGCCAAGTGGCACTGGGGCGAGGACGAGCGTCGAGCGTTTTTGATAATAAAGTTCGCGTTGCAGCAAGCCCCTGTTTTGCAATTACCTGACTACGACAAGCCTTTTGTAGTCACCACCGACGCCTCTGGTTTCTGCTGTGGTGCAGTCATTTCCCAGCTCGACGGCGACGGTAATGATCGTCCCGTTGCTTTCATGTCCAAGCGCCTCGGTCCTCACGAACAGAATTGGCCCGCTCACGAAAAAGAATTGTACGCCATTAAGTTGGCTCTGGGCAAGTGGCGCCATTACCTGTATGACAATCGGTTCGATGTATACACCGACAACACTTGCTGCAAGTGGTTCATGACCACGCCAGTCCTTACGCCCAAGTTGACGCGTTGGCTTGACTTTTTCAGTTGTTTCGACTTTGCCCTTCATCATCGTCCGGGCAGGTTAAATGTGGTAGCTGATGCCTTGTCTCGGCCTCCACATGCCACCTCCACCGTTCACCACCTCTTAATCCACGCGTGTGGTCTCCTCTGTGCCTCAGTCGCCGCGCGCATCAATCGACTTCTTGTCCATGCCTCGACTCTCTCCACCTACACGACTCGTGACATCGCCGTCATTGTCGACTCTCCTTTTTGGGGGGAGGGGTTGGAGCAAAAAGGAGTGCTAGTGCCTCAACGCCTAACGGTGAACCACTCGAAGCAAGTGTCCTTTAGCACCATCGAGATGGACACCAAAACCAAGGAACGTTTTGTGAAGGCATACGCAGAGGATTCAGGGACAAAGTCCATGAAAGGTGAAGACTTCAAGTGGAAGGAAGGACTCTGCTTTCTCCGAAGTCAAGACCAAGTTTGGAAGCTATGTGTCCCCAACGATGACGTGCTACGCGCCGAGATTTTATCTCACGCGCACGATTCAAGCACTGCCGCACCCTGGAACTCTAGGTACAATGTTAAGTATTGCGCAGTGGTATTACTGGAACACTCTTGCCGAAGACGTGAAGTAATACGTCGCGACTTGTGAAACATGCAGCCGATACAAGACGAGCAGTCTGCGTGCAAATGGCAAGATGATTCCCATTCCGCGCTGGAAGAGTGTTGGCAAACTGTTTCAGCGGATTGTATCACCGGTTTGCCCGTGTCAAAAGGCTATGATGCTATTTTGGTCGTCGTAGACAAGCTATCCAAGCGGCCAAAGTACATCCCTACGAGATCAGATGTTGATGCACCCCAAACGGCGAAGGAATTCTTCGAACATGTTGTTCGCCACCATGGACTACCAGCAATGATCATCAGTGACCGTGACCCCAAGTTTACAAGCTCGTTTTGGAAGTCCCTCATGAAGATTTTGGGTATCCGCCAAGCCATGACCACCGCCGGCAGAGCTCAAGCCGATGGAGCGACTGAGCGCCAGAATCGAACTCTCGAAGATGCGCTCAGATGCCAAGTGTCGTATCTAGGGCAAGACTGGGTCGACCATTTGCCCACGATCGAGTATGCCCACCAAGGATTTTTCCAAGCATCAACCGGCTTGAAGCCGTTCGAAGTCAACACAGGCCGCAAGTTGCGCAACCCTGCCGTGAGCAGCTCCTTGCCCAAGAATGACTTTGCGAAGAATTTTGCGGAACATCGAAAGGAAGTCTTTCGGATGGCTCACGAGAATTGAGGAAGGCCCAACAACGTCAGAAGGAGTATTATTACAAGCGCCGATCGAACGTGACCTTCAAGGAAGGCCATCAAGTGCGGTTAGCGACTCGCAACCTGCCTTTAAAGCATGCCCAGATGCTCGACAAGTCCGAGCATCCCAAGCTGGTTGCACGATTCATCGGTCCCTTTGAGATTGTCCAAGTCATTAATGGCAACGCCATGCGCCTTAAGTTACCTCGCTCGATGTCACGTTTGCATGACGTGTTCGACTTAAGCACTATCACCCCAACGAAGCCTAGTTTGCCCCCCGACCTATCCCGAAAGCTACTCCTGTTGTTCTCGACGAATCCACCGGCGAAGAAATGTACATTGTCGAGAAACTGCTCAAGAAGCGCCAGTTCAATCGCAAGTTGGAATACTTGGTCAAGTGGCATGGACAGCCCGAAAACTGATGAAGGACATCAAGCATGTTGTGCACTTCAAGCAACTCGTCCAAGACTTGGAGTCAAGGCGTTTAAAGGTGTAGCAAGACGTCAGGGGGAGAATGTAACTATGTGGCAGGTGGGGGTAACACCTGTGACTGTTGGGGCTCCAGACGCTGTGGCTGATGTTCATTACTATCTCTACTCCTGATCTCGACAGTGGGCTGTATGGTGGTGATTGCAGGGTAGCTATTGCGGTACTAGTATCGTCTTGGAAGCTTGAAGTTCAAACGCGATGCATGAAAATACCCTATTTTCTAGCGATGTGATTGGCCCAATGTATCGTAGTGCAACGAGCAAAGGAGTATGATTGGCTATAAAGAATGAAGATTGAAACATGATTGGCTCAAATAATGATTGATGCATTCAGGGCGGAGGAAATTTTGAGTGTTAATATATTAATAACAAACCACAATACTTTCTTCATATCTTAAATTATGGGTTCGTTTCTCAAGTGTGTTGACTGTTGTACTTTCAGGTAAACAAACCGATTGACAGAGGTAGTAACTGTAAATGATCATTGAATCGTATCTAATATGGGCGTTTAAGCAAAGAACTTCCACGCGACGAACATGCCGACGACAAGTCCAGCTACGAGTTGTCGTTAACACGCATTGAAGCCATGGCATGTTGCATACCTTTCGAAGGGACTTTGAACGTCCAGTTGGCCGTGGTTTGGAATTGGTCTTCGAGTTTCTTCCAATTCACTTCCACAATCCCTTGTTTCCCAAGAGTCTACGATTGTATCAACTTAGCAAAGTGATTCGCACAAAGATGTGTGCAGTATACCATGAGCGTTAGCGCCGTCACGCCAACGGTGCTTGTCAAGAAGAACAGGTTCTTGCAGAGAGTCATGCCCGCGAAACCCACAATGCCGCTGAATACGAACGGCGAGCGCCACGTCACAAAGCAATCATTGGCGCGACAACGGGAGTTGCCCATTGTTGTGTCATGGCAGCACTGGCACGGAGCAGGCGGCGGCACGGGGACTGCAGTGGCCATTTGTGGCGCGAGGTATTGGTACGCGGTGTCAATGCCCTGAGGTTGGTGCTCCGGAGTGGCCTGGGTGGCGGCAACTGAGTCGCCGAGCTTGTCGGCTGCACCGGCGGGTTGAATGGACGGAGACATGCCGATCACGAGGGAAAGTTGGGAATGCGCGCAATCGAAAGATCACAACAGAATGGTACTACAGTACAGTGTACACACACTCGGATGAGGAATGCATGTCTTTGACGATGAGTGTTGGTACTCCTTCCATACATTTTTATATATAAAACACACACTATCAGTTGTTGGATCGTAAATATCTAGAAAATAATCCAATCATCATTCAGCATTTGATACGTCAAAATATTTGCCATGGCGTACTATTTCTTCAGCAATAGTAAACAAATGTTTCAACGCACAAATTTGTATCAAATCGACAATACTACTACGTACTATCTTCCTCGTCCACCTTGATTATGGTGACTACTGTACCTAGTACAGTATAAATGGACGAGTTTGGCGGCGGTACTTTCATGGCACGCTATTAACAGTACACTCCAATGCTTAATCGTTTACTAGTTAGTATATGTACTACGTACAATAGTAGTCCTAAACATGGGGCGAAATCTTTCGTTATCGGAATATTAGCGTAGTCCATTCATCATATACTAACTACACTACGAATGTAGTTGGTCGATCACCCACAAACGTCCATCCAACTCGTACAATCTTCAACTAGTACTACTATGTAGTAGTACTAGTGGTGGCGTGGATTTGCTTGGCAAAGGCAAACTGGAACTCTTGCATGTCGACAATCCCGTCCTGGTTGCGGTCCCACTGGTGCATCAACTCAAACGCCATCTGCTCCGTCACGAACGCCGCCGCCGGTTGCCGTCCGCCCGCAAACAGACCCGACGGCAGCGGCGGACTGGCCGACAGCGCCATCTCTGGCTTCATGAGCCCGAGTACCCGCAGCGTGGCCTTGACGTCGTCGTAAGAGATGCGCCCCTTGCGACTCCGGTCAAAATACTCGAACGCTTTCGTGACATTGGGCTCGTTCAGGCGCTCCCAAATGCTCGACATCGTCGAGTCTACCCATTGCTTGTCCGTCGGCAGATCCAACCGATTCGCGCGAAGGAACCTAGATCCATTTATATATATATATATATTATGTGCGCTTCGGGCACTACATATATATATAATATATATACTAGTAAAATATATAAATGTATTTATATATATAATATATATACATTTATTTATATAATATATATAAATTTATTTGTATACATAATATATCAATTTATTTATACATATAATATATAAATCTATTTATATATATAATATATAAATAGGAGTGGAAACTCACATACCGGGAAATGTCCACCAACGATGATGATGTGGTCGTGTTTGTAGATTTGGGCACCAATTGCGGCAAGTAAAGCAAATAATGCAGCGGAATGCCCAGTATTTTGACCAGACCTATGAGTGCATTCATTTTTATAAATCTTATTTCACGTTGAACACCATAAATATATATTTATATATATATATATAAACCGAACGATAGTATTACCTTGTTTCCACTGCAATCGAGACACTTTGGGTGGCAACGCACTAAAGTACCCCTGGAGTTCCGTGTGTTTCTTGCCAATGAGCTCCTTCAAGCTCCACAACGTCCGCTCTTCGAATCGATTGGCTTGCGTTCTAATAAATGAAAGTCCCATGAATAAATGAATGCCTTAAATAAGCTTCACGTGTATACCGCCAGTTGCGCGTGGACGTGAACTTTTGCAGCGCCTGCGAGTGGAATTGCACCACATATGGCTTGAGTTCGTCCGTCAAGACCACATACGCCCCTATTCACATGTTATTTCCCAATGTTTGAACACTATTTATCTCCAAAAAAACACTATTTCAAGGTATTATAATTTATATATTTACCCTTGTTCGCTTGGAAGCCACAGTACGACGACGCAGAAAACACGCTCAGCACCAATCCGTCGTGCATGACTTCGAATCTACATAAAATATATATGTTAGAATAACACGAATACCGTCGATAGATTATTCGAAATTATATATATATATATATAATACCCTTCTTCGTGGGATTCGTGGGATCGAATGATGAGGCGCAAATGGTTCAACGCACAAAAGTGTTTGGTCACGTTTGGCCCAAACTCAAACCCACACCCGCGCTTGGACGTCACAAACCTGTCGACCAATCCCACGTCAGTATTTTTTAGAAAAATATAACCCAAATATATATATATATTTGGGTCGCCCGTGTTTTTCAGAACTTATATCCCACATATAAATATAACCCAAATATATATATATATAATAATAAATACATATTTGGGTCGTCCGTGTTTTTCAGAACATATATCCCACATATATATATATATATCCGTTCGAAACGTATAAGTCAGGTCTAGAAGTCCTGCTGCATACACACCACATTCAAACTATACTATTAGAATCAACATGAACCAATGTGATGTCGACATACCCGTCCCGTGGCTGCGGGTCGTTCCACATGAGTTGGGAAAAGATCTGGTCGTCAAGTCCGTCGAGGCGGTTGGTTGGGATCTCGCGCAGGTGGTCGATCGCTTCAATGTCATTCAGCGTCACATTTGGTTCCACAGGAAGACCTCCATGCACCTAACATATATATAAATCCCCCCAATCTATCAATATATATATATATATATATATATATATATCGTTCATCCAATCCATAATACATACCACAAACACCGAGTCTTGGATGAGCGTGCACAGCGGCAAGCGGTTGAACACGGCTTCAAATAGCCCAAAGAGCGCCGGGAACTGGTCGGCGTCGTACTTTTTGCTCACTTCGTCTGCAAACCCAAACACTTGGTTCAACACGAGCGCCTCGTGGTTGCCCCGATTGAGAAACACAAACTGGGGATACAGCAACGAGTACGCTAACAACGTGCAGATGACTTCGACGCCGTGGAGGCCGCGGTCCACAAAGTCGCCATTGAACAAGTACCATAATGTCTTGCTTGGGACCTACACAAGTAGTGGGAAGGGTATTATATATCGAGATTTCTTGCCGGTTGGAGTCATAGACCTGGAGACTATCTAGCCAATCAGGTTGTAGAAACGCAATTGGTGTATGACCAAAATAAATAGTGTTTTAGGGTTAACCAATCAGAAGTCGTAGACACGCCAGTCGGGTATAAACACAGTGTATTAGCCAATCAGGTTGGTGTCGAAACGGTATATGACAAAAAATAGTGTGTGAATCGCGTCGTGTATGACATAAAATAGTGTGAGTATAAAATCAGACATTCCATGGCCGTGTAACGCATTGAGTGTATGATATAAAATACTGTGAATCGTGTGTTAGCCAATCAGAAGTCGTAGTAGACACGCCATTCGTATACGACATAAAATAGTGTTTGCCCAAATGACGTATGTGTGAGAGGATATGGGATATCCAGTAAATATCCAATAAATATCCAATAATTATCCAATAAATATCCAACTATACGATGAACGCACCCCCTTGCGGTCAAATATAGTCATGAGGTCTTCAAATTGGCCGTGAAGGTCGCCGACGATGACCAGTTCGACGCCCTTGGGGATTTGGATATGGGTCATTGTCCCTCTGGGCGGCGCATCCAGCACTTGCTCCACCAGCTGCATCACGTAGTGCCCATGGAGCACTTGGCCGCTGCGGAACGCGTCCGAGAGCTTGAGCACTTGGTTCTCTGTCAGTGGAAAGCTCAAGTGCACGCCACGGTACTGCTTTAAGCTGTCCTCTATACTCACGAGCCACAACACACCCGTGTCTGAATCACTCGAATAACGTTATCTCTTTAGAGAGAGACACACACAGGATATCAAAAACGCCCTTAACGTACTGACACAAGACGACGCGTCCGTGGGTTCGTCGTACGACGGCGCGAGCGACGCCAGTTCGTTCACACTGATCGTGTTGCGAATGATCTTGACCTAGTTTTTTTAAAAATCGTAAAAAAAGTTGATTTTTTGCCAAAACGTGGCATGAAATAGTCGAAAATCATACAATTTTCACCGTTTGCTGCTCTTGAAGAGACTCGAGCAGCGTCCACGTATGAAAATGCAAGAGCGTGCGGAAGAGGCGGTAGGCCAAGTGCATACGAAGGCAGCATTTGATGCGGTTGGCAGCCAGCACCTTCTCCGAGAACCGCTCGACGTACTTGATGGACACATCCGCCGTGGCTTCATCCGCCAGGAACTGGACGGTCACGGCCATGTTGCTTTTGGTCGGGGGATGCTTCTTCCCCGTCGTGCCAGGTGGGGACGACGACGAAACCAACACAATCACGGCGGGGTGCTTGCCATACACGAGCACTTTCGTGTGTGGGGCAAAATCTTCGGGGATGGGGTCGCAGTCGATGCACACGAGGACGGGCGACGTGTACGCAAGCAGCGGCAGCTTGTCGATTGCGTGGCTGCAGCGCGTGCACACGCTGCTGCCGCACTTGCGGCAATGGTGTGGCCGGTTGAACCAGTGGAAGCTCACGTGGCATACCTGGCAGTACGCAGCGTTGAGCGCCCACGCGGGTCGCATGGCGATGCGCAGCGCGCGCGTCCATCGGTCGTAATGCTCGAGGGACGTGGCTTGGAGCTTCCAGCTGAGCACGTTGCCGGCGGGGCCAAACCCGGACACGAGGATCTCCTTGGACCGACGGAAGCAGCGCATTTCCGAGCTCGGGCCGGACGAAGACGCCCCAGACGAGTACGACCGGAAGTCGCGCGTTCCAGTGGAAGTAGTAGCCGCCTGCGGGGACTCGATATCCTTGGCGCAGAACGACGGGTGGAGAAGTATCGTGCCGCGCAGGTTGCGATTGCTCAGTTGACCCGTCTGCGTCAACTTTGTGGACGGGATGTGGTACACGATGTCCCCACAAGCATTGATCGTCTGACGCAGCGTGATCTCGTAATACTTAAGCAGCCCGGACGCTTCCAGCACAAAGTACCGGAAGTGCGCGTAATCGCCCTTCTTGATCAACGGCCCTTCCGCCAAAATGGACGTGGAGAACACGTTATCGCCGAGACAGCAGGACGCGACGCGGGACATGATCGACATGAAGCTGCAATCGTCGCCAACGCCGCCGCTATTCGCGCTGCCATACCGAAGCATTGTGCTTGTTGCCAATTGCATCATACGATGGCTAAACCTGTCGCAATCAATCGTGTGGGAAGATATCATGTTCTACAGGTTACCTTTCTACAGGTATACAAATCGAAGGATATGTGTCATGCGACAAGTTCCAAGGATGATGTTGAAGGCTGTACATACAGTATCGGTACCTTTATCTTTGCGGTAGCTCCGTAGGCCATCGAAATCGATGTACGCAGACGTCCCATCGGCATTCATATGTAGTACGTCCTTCATCTGGAGGGCAATATGCTTCCAGCAGCATGCTTCACACCGTAGATGCACCACACATGCCTGCAGGGAGATTCTCCAGTGGCCAACTAATTGCGAACCTCAACCGTGCAGTTCTACTGGCACATTGGGCAGTGAATAAGTGTCGCCCATTGCTACCCCCGAATTGCGAACCTCAACCGTGCAGTTCTACTGGCACATTGGGCAGTGAATAAGTGTCGCCCATTGCTACCCCCGAATTGGTGCGGCGAAGATCGCAGCCCAGAACATTACCGCGGGATGTTCTGGGCGACAACGGTCTATATATAGCGTCGTCGCGCAGCACACGACGAACGAAATCAAATAAATTCATGTCGATCGCTGTAGCAATTTAATACAAATGATTTTGCGAGGAATCAATGGATGATCAATGGAGCAACCATTTCTACATTCGCCATGTCCCGCCCCAGTGCCTCGCAGTCTCAAAACGTCAACAACTTCCTCGGGGAACGCTCCAGCACGCGCCTCGCTAAGCCTCCCGGCGGCGGCTCCACCATGGGATCCCTCATCTATGGCGGGGATGACAGCGGCGCCGCGTCGTTTGGTGATGACCGCAAAGGTCGTCGAGGCATGGGCTCTCGTCCCGAACAGAGCTCTGGCAGCCAAGTGTTTCATCAAGAAGCAGGTGCCATCGTCAAGGCCGGCAACAACAACAACACATCGAAAGACGCAGAGAAGTACCAGTTGCAACAACTGCAGTACCAGCAGCAGCAGCAGGACCGCCGCATGACCGTGAGCAACCAAGGCTCGAGCGATATCTTTCTGCGCAATGCCCCAAATGCTATCGCCGGCGACCGACGCACGAAACGCATGTATGGCGGTGGCCAGTCCGACTTTAAACTCTCGTAATGCTATCACGATTTATACCATACCGGTACTGATGTAATACTACATCGTCTTGATGGCCACCAACTTGCCGTCAAGCATGATGCTGCGCCCAGTCCGCTCAATTTGGTGCCAATTCTAGCCCCAAGAAGTGAAGTCACTCCGCCTTTTTTCAGCGTGCATTCACAAATGTGCAGCGGGGAATCGAACCCTGGACTTCACACATTACCCTAAAACCCAAAACCCTTAACGTAGCAATAATATCGCGTGGCAGAGGGACACCTCGTCCTGCAGTTTGGGTGACATCATAAATTTACCATCAACTAAATTTGGACTTGGATCTTCATGGCGCCGCTACGAGGACAACTCGTGGGCACCAAGCGATACGAATGGACGACTCTACCTCGTGCCATTGGAACCAGTCTGTCACGCTGCTCGAGTACCACCAACACCCTGTCCGTAGTCTCGGTGCCGCGGCACTGGCAATCGTTTGCCTTTGTGCGCAACGCGTGTCGAGTGGAGTTTGAGGACGGGAGCGTTGCTCACGACAGCCACTTGGAAGATCTTCAAAACGTCCGAGAAGTTGGCTTTCGTCAGTGCGACTTCATCCAGTCGCCAAGCGCATTAGCTCGATGCCACACCCTCCGCTTCGTCTCGTGCGATGCCCTCGCTGACGTCAGCTCCTTGACCCACGTCAAGCACTTGAACATTGCCGGATCTCGGTACAGAACCAAACCACCCCCCACATGTATCGTTGGACAATCCATCACCCGAACATGTTACTTTACTTAGTGCCGCCACGAATGCGCACAAGCTCACCGCCCTGGAAACCCTCGTCACCGGGAGTACATTTTCGTCGTCACCACTGCCCGCTGTGTCACGTGGGCTCACAGCATCTGCAGTGAACGTTCCTTGGGCAGCCATGCCGTTGCTGTTGTTGGAACTCCATTTGAAGCAATGCCACACGCTGCCATCCGCCGTCGCCTTCCAAGTGACCTCCGTGACCTTGTCCTCCTGCGATCAACTCGAGTCCATCGCGTGCTTTCGGTTGGCGTCGCATCTCGAAATCGTCCGCACCCGACTCCTCCACATCGACGCGTTCGTCGGCTTTTCGCTCCTTCAGTCGATTCGATTGCAAGCGTCCACTTGCCTTCAACACGTGACTGCGCTGCAACACGTTCATGACGTGTCGCTGTCGTTGTGTGTGAATTTGCAAGATATTTCCCCCCTCGCCCATGCCAACTCGGTATATAAACCAACAGTGTTATTAAACCGTCTCTCCAAGTTATATTATAAATGACCTTCAGGTGGAAATCTCGTGCTGTCCTCAACTTCAATCGGTAACTGCGTTGAGTTGGGTGCCCCACGTGTCGTTGAGTCGATGCGCGGACCTCGTGGATGTATCTGGCCTAACCCACAACCACGTCGTCCGGGTATCCGTACGTCCATCTCGCCGACACATTCAATGATGTCTCTTATGCTGATCTTTGTCGCAGGAATGCTACCGTGTGACCCAAGTCAGCACGTTGCGTGAACGTTGTCACACAGTGGACATCGCGCGGTGTTTTCGCATCACCGACGCCGACCTCCTCGGCCAAGGGTCGATGCACACGGTCACGTTGAGCGGGTGCAACTTAGGCCCGGACCATCCATCAACATGGACGGACCACGCGACGTTGTGCTCCCTGGACCTTTCCAACAACTTGGACATCGTCCATGTCGCCAGTCTTGCACACCTGCACACAATCCACCTCAACCGAACCAGCGTGCGAGTCGTGGCGCCACTCGCACACGTCCACACACTGAGTCTCTCGGGCTGCGAGCTGCTCGAAGACGTGTCGGCGCTTGGCGGCGTGCATACGCTGGACTTGAGCTACTGCACAAGCGTTCGAGACGTCAGTGCCCTTGGCTTGGTGCACACGCTCAACCTCGCGGGAACGCTGGTGGACGTAGTGGCCGATTTGAAAACCGTGTACGACCTCAACTTGAGCGGATGCCCGTGCATCTCGGACGATCAAGTGAACCAGCTCGTGTTCAACCACACGTTGAGCTTGATGGGGTGTGGTCAGCTCACGCGCGTCGACGGACTCGGGAATGTGCACACGCTGAACCTGGCTAACTGCGTCGGGCTCACGGACGTGTCCATGCTAGGTCACATCCACACGTTGGACCTCACGGGTTGCGTCAACGTAGGACACATTGTAACGGCATAATCCACTACGTGGCACGATGTCGCTTCGAGACGTGGTTTCATCCAATCAAATCGCGTCGTGGGGGCGTGTCGAGGGTTTGGACCAATCAAATCCCGTGGAGGACGCGACGTTGAAGTTCAAGTTGAAGGGCGTGCCACAATATGGTCCCACAGTCAGTCAGCACCACGTAAAAAAGCTTCCGCGCCCCTTGGCAGCCCTTTGCGTCATGGGGACGTCTTGGAGATATGATGTGTATACTAGGATGGTGCAGCATGCGAAAACGCTCCGTCATGTTCGACTTGTTTCATCATCATCATCCAATGACTTCTCGTGTGATTGTGTGGTTGTTACATAGCTGGAACATTTCTCACGGCCGTTGGAAATGTATGGCTGGCTGGGAGTTTGTATGTAGTATACGTACGTACAGATCAAAATATCGTTCTGGACCTTTCGTTGCTTTTCTTCGGCCGACGCCTTGGTCGGGATGGGTGGGTACATGTACTGTAAGGATGGCGGTGACTTCGTCGCATGATGTTCTCCTGGTCTGTCTTGGTCCACATGCAGCACGTCATCTCAATAATCATCGGCAGAGGCCTGTATGGGTGGGTGGTGACCTATTAGGCGGGACATCCGGATATGCTGCTGCTGCAATTGTTGATTATCCGAACACATTCTGGCCATCCCGACGGCGGCGATCGCGACCTCTATGGCGCGGATACGCAATCGCAGAGGTCGAGTAAATATTAAATAAGATTGACACAGGTTTAAGGACCTACTCGACCCAATAGTCCGACAAATTGGCGGTTGGAATGTCGCGGTAGGCGCGGACATACAGCATCTCGTGAACACTTGGACGAGGGATGGGCGAAATGCTACGATCAATGTCTTCAGCAAGGCCCACACACACGTCGTCCGAGAACGACACTTTGCGCATGCGTCCAAACGACTCGTCGTCGTCCGTGGCGTCATCGCTTCGTGTGTGTTGATGTTGGTTGACTTTGGACAGGATGCCCCGGCGCGATTCCTTGGCAATCAGTTGCGTGGTCTCTTCGACCTTGGCCAAGATGCGAAACGCACAACCGTACTGTTGGAGTACCATGCATCGCTTTGCCAGCGTGCATGACTTCTGAACAAATGCCAGCGCATCTTGCAAGTCTTCCGACGACTTCAACTGGTCGAGGTTTCCAGTGCGTTGCTTCTTCACGGGAGATCCCAATGGTGTGGGCATGTCCGCGTCGTCGTTGTCAAGCGTGATCACAGACATGTTGAGAGAGGATAGCGAGGGTGACATGGAACGCGCGCCGTCGGCTCTGGTGGTCGTGCGAATATCGTCGAATGTGGTAAAGTGTGTGAATCTTGAAGTGCTGCGTCGTTGCGCATCCGGATGTCTTTGTATCCGGATTATAGCCTTTCAATAAATTCTCGAAAAAAATACGTCGCCGGCTGTATACAACGCCAAAATATAGATTTAGTCTGGGGCTCAATGCGAAGATTCTGGAATCTGGGCTGATGCCTGCCTGCATTGTGGCAGCTGCATACCGTAGCGACATCCTTGCGATGATGCCATGGAAGGCTTCGTGCTTGATCGTTCGCTGATGACGGCCAAGTCGATGCAGATGGCATACACCAGAAGCAGCTGGGAAGGTGTCCTTACACCATGCGATGAGCTAACCAAACAAACTGGTGGAGGAAACGAGGTTTCAACGAACAAAAAATCGCGGCTTTACAAGACCAGTCTCAAGAATCGATGTCTACCCACAGCTTGATGGAACACTGAACATGGGGTGTGTCGCCCAGCGTAACCCGAACACAGCACGTTTTCACAGCTGGACAGTGTTGTCAGCAGTAAGTTTTTTGTGTGGGATTGAATATATATGTGTATAGTATGGATGGCCGCCCCCACACTTTATTCGAGAAGGCCAACCGACCAGTGCTATCCCGTCTTGCCACGCGCCCTCTCTCTTCCATATCGCTGCGAAGCATTCCATCGATTATCGAGCGTTCGAAATTCGGCTGGCTGTGGTGCCGCCGCGTCCAAACGGCATGCGACGAGAGGTTCGAATTAATTTCTCCCACTGTAGGGTGTCGAGCAGGCACTTTACCACAAATACAGCTGTACTGGACCCGTCAGAATACATGTAGTATTAAAATACGAAGATAGTCGTTTTGATAGTACTATTAATATGGACAGTCTGACTAGTACTACTACTAAAATGTGAATAGTAATACTAAATGCTACAACTGTAGCACACATTCTTGGACGAGATGGGAAGGGTCGTCGGGTATGCAGGGCGAGACGAAGGTTTCTTCGGTTCTTAGGCGACACAGCATTATTGAGTGCCGGTCCCGCCACTCGTAACGCTCCAACGGCATGATGAACCTACAGCTTGTCTGGGACAGTTTCATCGCATGACAAGGGAAGTAGTCAGACGTCGTCGGTCGCTTGTCACTTTAACATCGCCCTCGTCGTCCCAAGCACCCCCGTCCCACCAGCATCATCATCATGCTGGCCCGACTCCTTCACATGTGCAGTATGCTCCTATTAGCGGCATGCATCAGCCAGGGCTCCGAAGACGCCCGCACTACTGCGGCGCGCAATGCGTGCGTGGACTTTGTCTGTACCAACTCGTCCGTGTTTGCCATCTACGGCAACGCATGCCTCCCGCTCAACATGTCCTTGCGTCGCGATTGCAAGCGATTATGTCCGACGTTTGTGTCGGTGAGCAACAACTGCGACAAGTGGGGGCTCCTCTGCGTCCAAGCGTGCATGGCGAACCAGAAGCGGCTCGGCTTCCCCGTCACCAAGAGCTCAAGCATCAACTTGTAAACTGTCAATTCACCCACGTTCGTTCATCTAGTTTTTTCCATTCAACAGGCTTCGTGTTGTTGCACGAGTGCTCTTATTGATGAAGGGGGGGGGGCTCCGTCCGTCATTACAAATACTTTTTGAACGGCGCAATGCTCAGCTCGGCGGCGTCCTTGACGGGATGGAAGAGCCCGGCCGGCCGCGGCAGCAGCAGCATGGTCGACACGCCGCCCTTGAGCAGCGACACTGCGCGGAGCGACTGGCGCGATACGCTGTCCCACATGCGGACTGTGCCTTCGTCGTCGCCGGAGATCACATATTGGCCGCACTCAGTGACCAGCAGCGCTGTGACAGGGGATTCGTGGCCGACAAAGCCATCCACACTCAGCGCGTCCTTGGCAAACGGAGTGCCATTGTGGGTCACGACGACGCGGGCGGCGGCAGCGGTCGCCGCCGTGGCCGCTGCATGCAGATCGACCACGTAGATGCGTCCATCGCCCGCCCCAAGGAAGAGGCGGTGCTCCATGGCGTCGGCGGCACAGACGTTGACGAACGATGGACATGTGATCGAGACCAAGCACGTGCCAGACGGAATGTCGTACACCTTGGTGGTCCGGTCCAGCGACGAAGTGAACACGCGACCATTGACCCCGCCAAGACCGCAATGGATGCTCGTGATGGGCAAGACGTGGTCTGTCCATGTGTGCACGGGAGTCGCGCCGCTTTGGAGCGCCGAGTCGGTGGAGGAGGTGTCCAGGTGGTCGAGGAGGCGCCAGACGTGGACGACGGCATCTTCACCGCCGGATACGACAAACGCATCGTCCGACGTCAATCGCAGTGCGCTGACCTAATCATGTCGGTCAGTCCTGAATGTCAAAATATACAGCGACCAAGGCAATTACTATACATACCGCTTTGTAATGGGCGTCCCAGACATGGAGAAGCGCGCCAGTGGCGACGTCCCAAATGTACATCTTTCCGGACGCACCGCCGGCAATGCAATAGTTGCCGTCGGAAGTTGTGACCATGGGACCCATGTGCTCGGTCACATGGCACTTGAAATGCGGCACGTCCTTACCCCACATGTGCATGTGCATGGCGAGTTTGCCAGGTTGCAGCGCGATGAGATGGTGCGTCCGAGGCACGGCCACAAGGCCATGGCGCGAGCACGAGCTACCTTTGAAGATGAAGAGCTGCGCGCCGCATGTGGGATCCACTACGTAGATGTTGCCGTCTTTGCTCGACCCCAGGACGAGGACATGGTCTTCCATGATGATGTGTATGTGGCTTCAAGTTGGTTTCTACGCGGAACCAATTGATCATGAAGAGTGATATCCGGATGTGGACCACATTTATCCGGTCGATTTCCTGTGCGCGCCATTATTCAAAATTCGCAGGATCAATCAAACGAAGATTCGGACCGCATGATGCCGCGGCGACCGAGGACTACAGTAGCGGCGCTAAAGGACGATGCATGGTATTGAATGAGTTGGTTCTCTGTCAGGAATGGCGTGATGCGTATGTATGTATATTACTATGAAATGGCACAGGAAAATGCTTGTTACTTTAACTTCCATTCGAAGCCAAGTTGCGTCAATTGCTCGACTCGGTGTGACGGGATTGTGTTCTGTCGCCCACGAGCATTCTTGACAATGTGCCCCAGCTTCAAATTCCACATTTCTTGGGGCCAGCTCTTCCGCTCGGGGACTTCGAACGTCGACGGGATGCGAAGATGGCCGTGCAACGTCTTGAAGTGCGCCATCGCATCCACGCGCAACTGCCACGTAGAATTCACGTCCCATACAAACCCGAGCTTTTCCAGCTGCTGGATCCGCGTTGCCGTCAGCTTGTCCTCTGTAGCGCGCGCGGACTTGACAAACAGGCCCAGGCGGAGTCCCCAACTTTCCTTGGGCCATTTCGGCGAGTCCTCGGGCACGACGAAGTTTTGCGGCACGACGGCATGCCCGTATTCGCTAACGAACGTCTTCAACGCCATGATGTTCAAGTTCCACCGGTGTTGCCGGGGCTTCCACACAAAGTTCATCGCGTTCAGTTGGTCGACCACACTCGACGAAATGTTTTGCGTCTTCAATCGATGTCGAAACTGCGCCATATCCACTGTCACGCCGCGTAAATGCGCGGGGAACTCGGTGTCATCAACGGGAATCGTGAATCGCGCGGGCAAGTCCAGGTACACCGCCTGGACGTTGCGCTTGTGAAAACCGGTCGCAATGTCGAGGAGGTTGTCGGGTGAATAGAGAGGATTCGAATGCCCTTTGACGGTTTTGGAGTAACATGCCACAGAACCGATCCCACGCGGAAGGACCCTCGCCGCGATCGCCGTCCACGGAGACAGCCGCCACATCAGTGCTGATTGGATATGGGGCGCTTCAACACAGATGTTCGGATAATTTCCGGATACTGTAACGCAACCCAAGCATAGGTAATTTAAATAACGCTCAATACGTTAATTGACGAGAGGTCGCGTTTAACCCACCGACAAGATTTTTTGTGTTGAGAGTATTTGCTTTTGACCATATTACACTCAACGTTATGTTAGGTTAAACAAAACATCCGGATAGAGCGAAGTATTTCCGGAAAAGAATTATAATTCGGCAGCATCGTTCGTTCGCGAACTCAACCCCACAACTTGGATCGGTTCGTGTCGGCAGCGGCAAGGATGCGCGCATACTTGACGTGCAAAGCGGTGGAGCTGGAAGCGGGTGGGGGGTAGATGAGCTCGTACGTGTTTCCAAAGGCTTCCATCTCTCGTCCTTGGTTGTTGTCATCCGTATTAGTCGTGCTGTCGGGGTGGACGCGGTTACTCGACGAAGTCTTCGCTTTCGCTGGGGTGTCGTCATCTTCTTTTTCGTCTTCACTTGGACCTGACCCTCCTCCGTCATTATCGATGGGTTCCACTGCGTCTTCTTCGGCCAATTCCACCACTTGTGGTTCCACGACCGGGGGCGGGGGCTCCACCAGTACTCCCTTGGCTTTTTTCGTTGCGACGGTAGCATTCCACAATCGAGTCTTCCACGCCTTGCGATGTTTCTACCCCTCCCATGTTTACTTGCCTTCTTCGTTTCAGTGTATGCGTACCGCTTGGAACGACCGCTTCGTCTCATTCGTCACGGCCAAGATGTCCAGCGCTTGGGCGATGAGCGGTGTCTTGATGTTTCTGTCCAGTAGCGAGTCTCCTACCCCGTACCCGTCGCTCTCGGACAAATTTCTTGAGCAACGTTGTCTAGTACCTGCAAAGCTGGGCGCGTGGTTCACTTCCACCATCCACGCCTTCCCTTGCTCATCCAGCATGATGTCGAACCCGAGGATTTCAAAGGCCGCGGGTCCCCACTGCCGCCCCTTGACGTCGTCGGCGCCGAAAAAGTTGCGGTAGCTCGCGGCGAGGCGGGGCTGGATGGCCAGCAACGTCTTGAGAACGATGTCGCACACGTCAGCCCACACAGCACATGGGTCCATGCCGTGGTCGTCTTGCAGGTGCTGCATCACAAACGCCAAGCTGCGCTTGCTACCCGTGGATTCATCGACCGACTTGACAAAGTCTTTGCTCTTCTTGTTGATCGCGTAGCTATGATAACGTCATCGTGATGACGTGATCGATTGCGTGATGACGTGATCGAGAGTGTACTTGGTCAAATGCATGCGCGTTTGGTGCAAATTCGACCGCTTCGGCGCTTGAAATGGCGTCGTGCAAAACCGAGCGAGGCCATTGCGAAAGACGTATACGACCAGCGGGTCCACGCTCACCACGAGCACCTAGAACGAACGATGGAGATAATATATACTTCAATACAAACAAATACATATATATACATTGCCACTGGACAATGCGTAGCAAGTCAACACGACCATCTTCTACTACTTGTACCTTATCCACATCAAGCAACAACATTTACCATCATGCAAGATATGTACTACTAGTATCACTTACGTAAATACGGAGGTCAAACTTGAACCCGTCAATCAGCAGCGGGTTGTGAATGTACCTATGCACGTCCATCATGTGACACCGTTCGAACAAATGAACTGCATACTTTTGCACGACGCACGGATCTTTGGTCGATAGCTTTTGAAACGATTGAATCAAACTGATGCCTTTGCCTTGGCATAGCGTTCGTGGCTACAGCGACAACATCCATCAACCCCTTTTGGACTCCCCAACGCAACATGCAAAGAACGAGAATGAGACTGCGATAATGTGTGGACTTGTCATGCCTTGACAATGTACGTGGCGCCACGCTTGTCGTTGTCCATGCATTGCTGCAGCTCGACCCGCTCGGCAGGGACTAGAAACGATCGCGGGAAGAAGTCATACTCGTCTGGAAGGAGCTTCCGCATGGCATTCCTATGGTGCGCTATGAGATACAGTATTGGAGGATGGGCCAAGAAGGTGTACAGGTTGTTGGCGAGGAAGTCTTTGCGACAAATGTCCTCCATGCTGGGAAAGTGGTTCACTTTCTGAAACGCGTTCAGACGCCGCGCATCTTTGAGCAGCTCGCCGCGGTCGCTCCACCAGATGTCCCACTCAACCTCCGACTTCTTTGCCCGCACGAGCCGAAAGTCTACGCGGCAGTGTCACGCACTGCATGGGTTCCGTCCTTGTGTGGTAGATACCCCACCTCGGTCTTTTAAGCAGCGCTTGATGATAGCATACCGGCAAAGAGACACGTCCACAACGACTTTACGCGATCGTTTGAAGGGCTTCCCCGTCGCTGCATCTTGGGCTGGCGGTAGTGCCATTGCTGTTGGCACCAACGGTTTTTTTGGCTAAAGATAGTGTATCGCCCTCAGGTTGCTAGAAGTGTGCCATGTCCGTCGCTGTCGATACCGATATGACTGCTTCAGTATCCCTCACTGTGCACGATGGGCTAGTTGTGAGCAGCCAAGGACTGCAGTTTACAACCTCAACGCACTCCCAACCAGTGGAATGGTTCATCCCACGCTCGCCAAGTTTAAGAACGATCTGAACGCTCAAGGGCATAGTGCACACTTCTTCTACTCAATCTAGTATCATGCTGCAGGAACGTTCATCTTCTCTGAAACGTCCCTCTAAAGCAAGCGCATGGTCATGTGCGAAGTGTTTGCCATCAATCACCCACGACGATTTGATACAAGAACCGATCTTGGAGTGAAATTTATCCGGACACCTCGCACGGTACCCATCTGATAGTGAATGCCAGCTTATAATTGGCATACACCAAATATAATATTTGTACGACCAAGATATGTTTACCATTTAATATGCAAATATCATATTAGTATCGTCGTGCATTGAAATCACGCGCCGTTGACGCAGACGACTTGTATGCCCAACCGTCCAAAGTTACAAATCCCAGCATTTGTGCTTCGACAACAAGATGGGCAAGGAGGAAGTGTACTTCTACATCCCCAACCTCATCGGCTACACGCGGGTGCTCTTGACAGGCTACAGCTTCTACGTGGCGCTCTCAGACTGGAAGACGGCGGTCGTGTGCTACGCCATCAGCTTCATCTGCGACTTTTTCGATGGGTACTTTGCCCGATGGTTCAACCAATGCTCGACGTTTGGCGCTGTCTTGGACATGGTGACAGACAGGTACTTGCATCCATCCACTCAATCGTCCCAATCAATCCCTTAACATCAACCTCGGATCATGTAGATGCTCCACTGCCGGCCTGCTCGTGATCTTGTCGCATCTGGACAAAGACAACACGCTGCTGTTCCTCTTCCTCCTTGTACTAGACTTCTCATCGCACTGGTATCACATGTACGCATCCCGCGGTCACCACAAGAGCGTGGACTCGAAGAAGAACTTCTTGCTCCGCGTGTACTACGGGTGCTACCCATTGTTTGGGTATTGCTGCGTCGGAGCCGAGTTCTTTTACATCTTGTACTACGTGCTGCAGCACGACCCCACGTATCTTGTGCCATATGTCGACATCCCGTTGTCCATCGTATGTGCGACCTTTCCATGTCGCGATTCCTTCTTCGTCATTATAACGGACATGATGCTTTAGGTCTGCTACTACGTGTGCCTTCCCGCCTGTGTAATCAAGAACATCATCAACGTGGCCCAGCTGTGCTCGGCTGCCGCGAGCGTGGCCGAATACGATTTCGACCAAAAGCTGCAGAAAACGTCCTAGATATACTAACCATCAGCAGTGTTATTATAGCAGTGTTATTATAGCAGTGTTATTAATAGCCCAACTACTACAGTACCCCTGCCTAACCATAAAGTGTACTCCTGCAATCTCCATTTCAAACGTCGCATAATCGTAGCTGGTGGTAGCTATAGCGGCTATAAATAACTTCACCACGTCATAATTCATTCAACCTCCGCTTTCCCGTCTACTGACGACTCAACGAGCCCTCATGGGCTGTGCTGCGTCCACATCCAATCCATCGCTTGACCCAGCCAACGCTTTTCCGAGCCAGCAGCAGCAGCAGCCCGAGACCCCCGCGGCGACCTCCACGGCCGTGTCGACCCCTCGACTCGTCCAACTCGCCCCTCCAGTACATCCGTTCCTTTCATTCCCTGATACATAATGCGCCATATGCTTTCAACCATGTAGAATATGCCATCTGCGGTTGTCCTGCCAAATGTCCCCACAGACACTCACTCAACGCATCATGCCACCGAAGAAGCAGCGGACCGCCCAGATTTCGTGGCCCTCTTGCGAGTTGGTACGTCCTGTACTAGCTCGTACTAGTAGCAGTTTGGTCCGTGATGAAGTTGGAATACGTACTTGTAGTCAAGCAAGGCCTCCTTGCCAAAGTGCAAAGCGCAGTGGCGGCGTCTCCGATGCTGCTCAATTGTCGGGGGATGTGGGACAGCACCCCCCTGCTCGTGGCGTGTCAGTACGCACACTCAGACGTGGCTCTGCACCTGCTCTCCGTCGGCGCGGACGCGACGCTGGTCAACGAGAAGCACGTGTCGGCCGTGCTACTGGCATCTCTCGAAGGCCTCACGGAGGTGCTGACCTGCTTGCTCACGACAATCCCCCGTGACCACCTCGCGCCACTGCTGGTCCTTCGTGGCACCGTTTACAACTCGTTCACAGACAACAACTCGAGCTTCACACCGCTACTGGCTGCGTGCACCAATGGCCACGCCGAGTGCGTGGGGCTGTTGTTGGACGCGACGACGCAGGATCAGCTGAACGTCCCAGCTGACGACTCGCGTAGTCCGCTTCTGGCGGCGGCGGGACACGGGCACACCGCCGTGCTGCACTTGCTCCTCCAACACGGTGCCGACCCGTCAGTGTGCGACGCAGGTGGGAAGTCTCGTACAACCGACAATTATATATATGGTTGGTCATGTTTTGGTTTAACCTGGAACTGTTGGTGTAGGGGGCAACAATGCCCTTTTGACCGCGCTGGCAGGCGGATTTGACGCCACCGCCGTGGCGATTGTCCGCGCCGCCCCTGGCACAGCCGCTGTGGTGAATGCCGAAGGGCTGACGTCGCTGCATGTGGCGGCTCGCTCGGGATGCGTGGAAACGGTAACCCTACTCTTGGCCACATCATCGTCGTTGGTGCCCGCGACGACCGCCAAGGGAGAGACGGCGCTACTCCTCGCCGCACGAAAAAAGAATGTCCGCATCGTAGAGGCGCTGGTGCGAGCAGGGTATGTCGATGCCACGACGAACGTGCATATCATGACATGGTGTGTGTCTAGGGCAAACGTGGATGCGTGTGACGCGACAGGTCAAAGCGCGAGGCAGGTGCTTGTCAACACCAAACAAGTGTACTTGGTAGCCGTCGTGGAATCGATGGCCAACGGTGCTACAACCCCGTCGCCGCCGGAGGTGTCGTCACGACCACTGGCCACCACCCCTGAAAAAGTACCGTCGTCTGCCAAGTTGGGGTGCCGTCGTCGCAGCAGCCGGAGAAATCAACCAACCGCCGAGCCCGACATTGTCTCGCCCTCTGACAAACCCGCGGCCATTCGACATAAGGGCAGCCACCGGGCCGGTGTGTCAACGATCCCCGATAGCGGAGAAAGCTCGCCCCTCCAAGTTGGTCGGCGCCGCAAACCAAGCAGTCGCCGCCGTCGGTCCTGCGGCAACATGGAGTCGGACTTGGACAAGCTGGACGGACTTGTCAAGACACTCCCTTCGTCCCCGTCGGCGTCGTCAGGTCCTCCCCCTGGAACCCCCACGGATGACGGCCCCACTCCCCTAGCTCGCGGCGGCCCCACACGCCACGCCACACGCTTGTCGAAGTCGGTCCAGAGTTTGCACACCACAGCACCCCCATCGTTGACATCGCGAAGTGCATCGATGCGACTTATGTTTCCGAACAAACGCAGTCAAGTCCGCCCCCTCGACACCAACGAGAAGCCGACGGCGGCTACACACCCGTCCGCCGTCCATCCGCTGACTTCTCCCCTCCCCACCACGTTGACAGATCATCCTCCATTGACACGTGATGACGCAGTGCTGTCGATAAACCCTACAACTACGACGCACCCCTTGAGCTTGACAGCCACCCCACCGCAAGTGGGATGTCTTCAAGGTATCCCACCTCCCGAGAAAGCCGCGCTGATCCTCTCGAACATGTCAACGTCTGCAGAGCTGGCCACGCAACCAATCTCACAAACCGCACCGGATCCGGTTTGCGACTCCCCCATCGACAAGTCCACGTGCGCAGCTTCAGTGCCTAGTCACACACCCGACAAGCCAACGTCGTGTTTGACGGCCAAAGACTCGGCCATTTTGGGTGCTGAGCTCGTGAGTCCATCCACAGACCGACCCATTCGTCAGAAACCCAGCCATGGGGGCCTCACCACGAGATCTTCCTTGAACGCCCCGGTGCGAATTGGCAAGCGCGACCTCCCGCGGCAGCACCGGTCCGTCAGCGTATTGGTGTCCCCGTCCACGCTCGATGCACTTGACCGAATCGGCGCCTTGGGGGTGCTGCCCCCCAAGTCAGCACCCACGTCCCCCACCGCTGCCAACGCAACACATGTGCCCTCCTCTCCGAAGATCAGATCGCAGTCGTCTAACAGCGTCGACAATCTGCAGCGCGTGAGCCAAGTAGCGTCGTCCACACCAACGAGACACAGCTATGAATAATAACACGAGGCGAGTTCAATTATAACTGACCCTCCATAACAAATACATTGTTGTTGTTACCGACGACACACACTCCAACTGTGTTGTCCAATATAAATGGAACTGTTTGTATAATGGTTAAAAGTTATCGAACTTTTAACCATTACTAGTATACAGACAGTTTAACGACCATACAATCGCCTCAATGTTATTCCCGAGGTAACGTTAGGTATTAATAGCTACAGTATGACGCCGTGACTAGTATTTAAAACGGGCGAATGTTGTTGGTGCCCCGCAAGCTATTTTTCAGCTGTGACGGGTTCGCCCACGACGAATGTAGGTACGCGTCGTCGTCTTCATCTGCCAGTTTCTTGAGTTCTTCTTGCTTCTTAAAGTAGTGCGCCATCATGGCCTTGCGTTCGTCCTCGGACACCTACGCGCCGCGCGTATCCTCATGTTGGTAGGCACATGTCATAGAGGGTGCTTACCGCTGGTTCGCGCTGGGGCGCGCCGTTGGCTTTCTTGGTGAGCTTGGCAATCACTTTGGTCTTTTCGTTCTTGCCCACGCGGTCCCCCACGGTTTCGTCGCGGAAAAATTGCTTCCCGGCCCACCACAACTCGGCCGTGTCCGCGTTCAGGATGTCCATGCCGCTCTGGGTGCCACCGAGGGCTTCCTCGTCCCTGCCGTCCAAAAGCAGTTGCACGACGTCGTATTCAGGGAGTCCCATAGGAAAACCCATCATGACGAGCCCGCGAAAGTTGTCCAGCTTCTCCTGCAACACGTTTTGAGATATCGCGACGCGCCCGTTCGACTTCAAGTACTGGTTCACGTCGGCCACCATGCGTGTCAGCGTCTCCCGGAGTGATGCGCACACCCCATTTCCAGTGCGCTGGCCCAATGGATCTTCCTCGTAGAACTCGGCCTTTTGAATCGGCGTCGACGCATACGAGTCTAGCCCGTGCTCTTGCGGATGCTTCGCCACGCCGTGCTGGAAGAGGCTCTGTGTGTGCGACGCCAAGCTCGCGAGGCGCACACGAGCGTTGTGCACATGCACGAGCTCTCGAACCAGCGTGTCGTTTGAGGTGCTGCATGTAGTTTCAAAGAGGAATGCTTCCGTCTCGCTCAGCTTAACGTTGATCACAACCATGGTGCCAAGAATGGAAATGGATGAATTGCGGAAAGGTCGTGATGTCCGGATACGAGCATCCGAAATCTCGAACAATGGAAAGTCTGTTTCTTCGAAGTACATGTCAAAACGTTCAACCGAAAGCGAACGCTCCCGCTGTCAAGCACGCGGCTTGTTCGAGGACCTCCCATCTCGACACGTCCTGCACGGCAACCCACCTGGGCATATAGGAACTTGAGGACCAGCATGTTGGGCCGCGAGGAGGCTCACGTCCATACTCACTGTCCACCACCATTACTTCGAGTTTGCGTTCTCCATACAATCTGACAGGAACGTTGCCATAGTGTCCGCATGAGCATCTCCAACGGTGTCAGAGCATCTCCAACGGTGAGACACTAGCAAGTCCCATCGAGCACTCTGGCCATCCAGGTGTACATAAACGATGGTTGTGTTGTGAAGATTTAGATCGACTCGAGTGTGTTGCGGTCAGCGTCGACGTCGTGCTTGTACTTGTCCAAGTACATTTCATGGAGCGCATCGCCGTCATAAAAGAGTCGGGTCACTTCTTCTGACGTTCTGTTGTGGGTGTTGGGGACCACAAAGTACACGAACGGGATGAGCATGAGTAAGCAGCCAGTAAACACGAGGAACGCGTAGTTGCCCGCGGCTGTCGGGCGCATGAGCTGGGGGTAGTACACAGCAATGACAAACTGCGCCGTGAACGTGCAAAACGTCGACATCGAGTTGGCCGTGGCGCTAAGATGCTCTGGGAACAGCTCGTTCGAGATGAGCCACGCCATGGAGCCTGCCGAGAAGCAGTAGGACGCGACGAACACGAGCACCGTGGCGATCGCAATGTAGTTGGTCGAGTTAAAGTCGACGGGGTTGCCGGGGTACAACTGGGTCCAGACAATGCCCACCGACGCCAAGAGCGTCACGACGAGGCCGACAAGGAGGGGCGTGCGGCGGGAGAATCGGTCGAGCAGCCGCGCCGCCATACACATGTCATGGAACCGGCCAAAGTTGACGAGGATGTTGGACAATCGCGTCTCATGGATGCCCACGTTGAAGAAGAACCCGTTCGAGTATGCGATGATGGCGTTCATGCCCGCGAGTTGCTGCGACAGGCACAGGACGACTGCCACGAGCAGCTGGCGCCGGTACTTAGGGCTCACGAGAAGGCCGAGCTTGGAGCTCGAAGCTGCCTCCATGCGCTGCTTTTCATGGGATATGATCATCGCATTCAAGTGGAGCTCAGTGTCGCATGGCTGGGCGTACAGCTGCTGCAGGGCCACCCGGGCTTGGTCGTACTTGTTTAGCATGACCAGGTGGTGCGGTGACCGGATCATACACGGAAACAGGCATAGCTGCAGCAGTCCCAGCACGATGGGGGCCCCGAAGAGCAGCCGCCAAGTGATTTCCTCAGACGTGACGGTCAAGTGCAATGACGACACAACCAGCCCCCCCAGGGAGAGCATGACCTGGGGCAGCGTGAGGAAGAAGGCGCGGCGCGCTACGGGTGCCACCTCGCGCAGATACAGGTTGCCCACGACGATGGCCACGCCGGTGGCGATGCCAGAGAGGCCGCGACCGACTGTGAACATGAGCATATTGTTGGATAGCATTTGGACGAACGCGCCGGCGATCATGATGAACGTGTTGAGCATGAGCGTTGTGCGGCGGCCGAGGGCGTCGGCGGGAACAGACGAGAAAAGCGCGCCGATGCCCGCGCCGACGATCCACGCCGTGACCGCCGTCGTCCATTCTTGAGATGTGTGCGTGGGGAAGAGAATGCATTGGCCTTGGAGAGGCGGGATCTGCTTGGCGACCGCGGCAGGCACGTAGCATGCCTTTGAGTTGAACCCAATCCACGCCATTTGGGCAAGGAGGTACCCGTATTGGAAGGCTCCGAGAAGCACCACAAACACCGATTGGTACAGCTTTCCCGACGCCACAAGCGGGGACTCTGCGAGCATCTTGGCCGTTTGGTCCGGGAGGTTAAGGTACGACCCCTTGATCATCGTCACATGTGCCTTCTCCGTTGTCACGTCATCGGTCACGTGAACCTGCAGGTTGGTGCAGAGTCCAGGCAACATGTCAACACTTGATATGGGTCGAAAAATGGACGACTGGGCAACTATGCATCACATGTCCGATCGTGACACTTGAAATAACTTGCTACAGTAGTATATTATTGCAACCGTAATATGGAAACCACGCTATATTTTAATTCATCGCGGAAATATTCACCCGTGTTGAACGACCAGACGACGGCGTCGTTGAATTGACAAGGATGGTTGACATTCCTTCAATTATTATTGGCTCAATGGATTGTAAAACCTCATTTTCAACCAATCGCTAGGTACATGAGGTCATGAAGATCATTCCTCGTCCACTGCCCATGGAGTTGGACAAAGGGATGGTGGTGGCACATAAGCGTATAGTACCATGACCCCATCGCAGAATTTGATGGCAATGGTACAGGAAATAGCGGACGATACGGTCAACATTGGAAACCAATTAAGCACCGATTTGGTATTAATACTCTTCGCAAGTGATATCACTTCGAAAATGTGTGTACATTTCACACTTCGAGTGGCACGTGGGGGATATCGGGGCCGACGAGCAGAAGAACGTGCCGTCCGTCATGACCACACCTGTCGACCACACCTCGTTCGGGGGGCAGAGGCAATCGGATTGGCGCTCACATCCAGCACCAGCCCAGTCCGCATCATCCCCCACGGCTCATCCGTCAGGCGATTCCCATTCAAGCGGAACCATTTCAGACGTGGTAACCGAGCGTGGCTGTCGGCTTGAAACGCGACCGGCACGAAGTCGATCGCGTTGTCCCGCAGGTTCAAGTGGGATCTCCACGAGTGAGGCGTTGGTCAGTTGAAGGCGTTTGAGGTACGGCCACAACGCAAACACGTGGGCGGGTATATAGTGCACGGAGGCCGAGTTGATTGAGACGGTTAGTAACGACGGCGGAACGTTCTGTACGAGGATGTCTGGGATCGCCCGAAGGAGACTGTGGCGGATCACGACACTGCATACGGACCAGGGAGGAGGCTGGCGTTCCACGACGTCATGGCCGAGTCAAGCATAAGCACTTTGTACAGGTTGTTGGCACTTGTAGCAGCTACATGTATCAGCTATTTAATTTGAGACTCTTCTAGCCATAAGATTGGTCAGCCTTGCTGTTGACCTTGAGTTGGACAGGACTAGTACATTTGTACTGTACAGTCGCGTTGGCGTCCGTCTCGTCACAGCCATGGTTCGTCGCATTTAGGGACAAGTACCGATGGTGGCGGCTACAAGTGTTGTATTGCACCTACGACGAAGTTGCGACGCGGTGTACGATCTCCTGCACTTGGCAAGTCATTTCTTCCTCACACTTCCCCACAGGCCAAGATCGTCAGGTTTTATAATGCCTTCACAAACTGGATGTGTAGAATGGGCAAGCGACGGATCATAACCACTACCGTGATTCACCCTGGGAATAGCATTGTATGTACTGTGCATGCTCGAGAGATAAGCTAGAGTTGTGGCCCCATTCATTCGTAAGTGCATAGCTGTTCCAAGTTTAAGAAATAATAAAGTGTTGTTGTGGTCCGTTGCCATCACGAGCTGCTGAGAATCCAATTTCCTTGTCGGATGTCCAATACACAAACGCGTCGTCGTCGCTTGGTTTTTGGTTGTCGTCGTCCGAGTAGAACATTTCTGTGACTTGATCAGTGGTCTGGTTGCGCGTGTCCGGTACACATATCCACACAAACAGTACAAACACCACGAGCACAGCTGGAAAAATGCCAAACGCTTGCGACCCCCAGTGCCCAACGCTCGAAATCTGCTGAAAGTACACGCCAATGAAGAATTGGGCCGTCCACGTACAGCACGTGGCGATGGCCCCGATGACGCCCCCAGAACTTCCGGAATCAACTCGGTCGAGATAATCCACCCCAACGATCCCACCGACATGCAAAACGACGCAACAAACGCCAGCATGCAGGTGATTTGCACCCAGTTGTTGGTGGCGCTGGGGTATGTTTGGCACACCGTAAACCCGAGAGACCCCACGATCATGCCTGCACTCCCCACCAGGAGAAGCGTGCGACGGTTGAAGCGGTCGCCAAATTTCATGCCAAGATACATGTCGTGGAACCGGCCAAAGTTGACAATCGTGCTGGACAAGCGCAGCTCGTGGATACCAATGGCCTTGAACATGGTGGGGCCATACACGACCAGCGCATTCATACCGCACAACTGCTGCATCGTCGACAGCACCACCGCGATCGAAAACTGCTTGCGGTACTTGGCGCTCACCAATAACGACAGCTTGGACGACGATGACTCGGTTTCTTGTGTCTGGCGCTCCATGGTAGCCACCAACAAACTCCAGTGCGAGTCGACGTCATCGCCAGGCAGGTACAGCTGATTCATTACGAGATGGGCTTGGTCGACTTGACGTCGGTGGAGCAGCCACATCGGACTCTCCAATATGCACGGCATCACCGCCACCTGCAGTGCCCCAATGACCACCGGGCCGCCAAACAACGGCATGAATTGCCACGTTGACGACGGAACGTCCGGAATCGCATACATGAACGACGTGACCACTAACGTGCCGACGGACAGCGCAATCTGCACCAGCGTCATGTAAAACATTCGCCTCTGGATGGGGGCCAGCTCGCGCAGGTAGTTGTTCAAGACGTTGATGGCGACCCCACTGGCCAAGCCGTTGAGGCCTCGACCTATGGCGAACGTGTAGATGTCTCCTGCCAGCAGCTGCACGAGGCCCCCGGCAACCATGACTACGCCATTGTAGCCGAGCGTTCGTTTGCGCCCAAACCTGTCGGCGGGGAAGGCGCTGAGAAGCGCGCCGAGGCCACCCCCGACTGCCCACGCCGTGCTCTGCATAGTCCACTCGGCGGTTGAGTGACCAGGGAAGAGAAGGCACTGGCCATGAGGAATGCGAGGCAGCTGACAGAGTCGCAGGTGGTGAAACGGAATGTAGGCCATTTCGGCCATCATCCAGCCGAAGTGGAAAGCTCCGAGGAGGGCGCACGCTACGGAGCGGTGCATCAGTGGAGATACCACCAAGGCGTTGATGGCACTAGCGCCTTTGACGACATGGTAACAGGGCACTTGTAGAAACGTAGGGACGTCGGGCGATGTCTCCGTGACCACCGGTTGTGTTGATTGAGTAGACTTCATGGTGTAAATTGAGTTATGTCGTTGGGGTTACATTGCTCATCGAATTGTTTTGGCGTTGATTACGATTCCTGTGACGATCATGGTGAGGCTGGCATGTCCCACTAGTGACACCTCGTTGTTTCGTCATCTCGGGCGAAAGCGATGTAATGCGCTCACTTTCTGAACGAAGGTTCCCCCACCATCGCTTAAGAATTCAAAGTTTGGTTAGGTATGCATGTTTCATAAAATTAGATGGCATTTGATCCAGCGCTGGGCAAGCGTCCCCCCGAACGTACTCCAGAGTAATTACTCGAGGCATTCAAATCGAGTTGATTATTATTGGCTAACGTTCTGCTGCAAGACCTTCACTCCACTGTACGGAGTGTATGCCAATCATGATTCATATCCATCCGGATATATGATACTATGACTTTCATTTAATATCCGTGTGAAAGAAATCGCCGTTTTTCGAAAGAATAGTTTATTCAAGTGCGTAGGTTATTAGATAGATGAATGAAGATAATAAATGGTGATTATTTATGATTCTGACCACACAAAATCTCCAATTGTCATTCCGACGGGTACATGGTTGAGATTTCCGAAATATCTTATAGTTCAACCGTCGAACGACGACAACAGACAGCACCATGACCCTGTCTCGTGGGTGATGTGCTGTTTCATAGCGTTAGCATGTCACGGGATAACGCCAGAACTCGACGTCGTTGTCCACTAGCCGCACGAGTGCAGTTGAAGCATGTCGTTCGACGTGCATGGTCATGGAGGGTGCAAGGAATGCAGGTAGCGCCGACACTTGTGGCGGGACCGCGTGCACCGACGTCGTTGCCAACGTGTCGACATCCAGCACCATGAGATCGTTCTGGCCCAACACGACCAACACAAGGGGCCCGTCTACATCTCGTTTTGTTCAGAAAGGAACACACACGCACTCGAACTTGCCGACGTCACCTGTGGAGGACGCCACGCGATGCACGCCCGTGGGCACCACCGCGACGGCCCACTCGTTCCGTGCGTACCGATAGACGGCATGGCCGTACACGACGACCACGTAATCCTGTCGCATCCAATGCACCGACAACGACGTAGTACTACTAGGGTTGGGCTCCTCACGGTTGGAAGGATCGATGCCATGGGGGGGCACAAACGGCAACGGGAGTACATCGCTGGGTTGGCCGTTGCGCGGCGTCCGACGAAGCGCCTGGCGCTCGAGGTAGAGTGTTCCGAACGCGCCATCGTACACTGCCACGTCATCCTGAAATGACCCAAATCTGGTGCAGCCCGCCATGGCTTTTGCAAACGACCACGTCACAGAGAAGATGGTGCCTATTCGATTTGGTTCATGTTGTGTGAACGCATAGACATTATTTGCTGCTGCTGATTGACCTTGCATATCTTGCATCAGCATGGCGTTGTCGTCGACGGCGACGAGTCCCATCAAATGAACATGACTTGGAAATGTCATGTGATGCACCCGACGGCCAGTGGAGGCATCGATGATGTCCATATGCGTCGAGCTGTGAACGACAGAGAAGAAGACCGGCACGGACTTCCACGCGGCGACGAGGGTGCTCGACATGTAAGCAGCCGACGATGCCACCGATTCGGGCTTCAAGCTGAAGGCAGATAGTTGGGACCACGTACAAGAAGACGCGTTGTCGCGCTGGAACACGGCGACCTGAAATATATATAATAGTATGGTTATTATGACGGTGGCCGTATATGTATTATATATATATGGAGCCACCTTGGACACGTACGTACATGCGCATCTTTGCAGGCCACGACAGCGTACTTGTCCCCGGAGAAAGCAATCGACGTGGGGCGCGCCGATGGAAGCGTGGTGGAGAACTCAAGCTGCATGGCTGTCCGAACATTCCACAAACCAAAGCGTCCATCGATCGCGGCGATGCCGCACCATGCACCGCAACGGGAAAAGGCCGCGAGTCCGACTGGAACGTCGCTGTAAAGTTGATGCTTCAGGATACACTTGACCGTCGTTGGGCATACATGGTACACATACGCTCCGTTGGACGTGGATGCAACCAACGTGGCGCCGTGGAAGGCCACGTGCTTGGCAAAGAATGGGAGCTGCAGTTCAGATCGCCGCTCGAACTTGTCGTCGTATATGAACAATGTGTCGCCATGGGCAACGGCCAGTCTCGCTGTCGGTGTCGAAGTCCACGCGTGACAGAACCTCTCGAGGCCGATGACGCCCAGGCGGACTTGATCGACAACTTTGACATGTCGATGGTAGCTGTGCACTTCCAGAGCTATGATGGCTCCATTCTCGCACGTCATGCTGCATGTAGAAGCCCCGTCGAACTCGCTGAGACTGCTATTCCATGAACTGTAGGGAGCGAACCCTGCTGGCAGCGCCACCTTGCGCACGTCCATGATGGTATTTCTCGCGCGAAAATTGAGCGTTCGGATACCATGTTTTATCCGGACGCTTGATCTTCTGAATTGGCAGTTCCGCAGTGTGCACCACACAAAGCGCAGTGTGATGGAGGAGCTACACGAGTGGGGCACCCGCCTGGAGTTGCTAGATGACATCCAGGAGAAGGACATCGTCTTCAAAGACATCCTCGGCGCTATTCAAGTCCCAGGTGCCTCGGACGGTGCCAAGAGTCTGGCCGCGCAACTCGTGTCGAAGCATGTAGCCAACTTTCCGCACCACGAAGACGCAACCATTGATGCGTTGGTGTCGTTGAGTCAGCTTGGCGAAGGAAAGCAGAGCCAGTCCGTCCGAATTCACGCTATCCTAGGCCTTGTGATGTTCATGAAGGGGCAGACCATCATCTCCCTCGCGCTGCATGAGAAGCTGAGTCGGTTCGTTAACATGACGTTAGCCCGTGAAACGTCCGGGGTCCTCGTGCGTCACTTGACGTCACTTCACAAGCTCCTTGGACCCACACCCAACGTTTCAATCCCAAAGTCCACAAACCCCGTCACTGCCGCGCCGCCGTCGCCCGCTAAGGTAGACTCGAAACAAGGTACAAATGTCCTTTCCAAGTCTTGTCCATGCCTAACACATGTGGGTAGACTTCATTCCGCCGTCGCCGTTTGTATTCGTCAAGGGGTTTCAGCGCAGCTCCGACGCAGACCGTTTGCTCGCGTACTTTCAAGTCATCGACCCCTCGCTCTCCCGCGACACGGTCCATCTACACAACCTGAACCGAACGCATCAAAACGTGTTTATCGACAGTTCGTCCATCGACAAGGCGCGTGAAATCATCCAATATGCATCGACCCATCCGTTCCAAGGCCGTACCCTGACGGCGCAATTTGCGCGCGGCCCCGCCGTCACGTCGGTGGTGTTTCATGCGGCGGACTCGTACCCCACTGACTGGACCGACCTCGAAAGTATGTGGCCCGACGTGACCGCGGAGCTCCGTCGTCGGTTTCCCAAGGCGCAGTTCGTGACCACCAGCATCGGCAAAGCCACGTTTGAGTCCCTGGACACGGTCAAGACCCTCGTCACCAAGGGACTGACGGTGAGGGGGGGGCGGAAGATCTGTGTCGTGTACGACTCGGATGAGCAAACCGTCGTCGCACACGAGAAACGAACCAAGCAGCCATCCCATACAACTCTGGACAACAAGGTGCAGAAACAAGGGGAACGAGCCAAACATACCCCCTATCGCCCACCTGCGACGCCGTCCAGTGGAGCTACTGAGTCTGCCGAGGCGGCGGCAGCTTCCAACGCTGCTTGTACCGCGGCGTCTCCACTTGTCGCCACCAACGACAACGTGTCGCCTCGAACGTCCTCCTGTCAAGGGGTGCTGCTCCCGTCGCCTTCCAAATACACCGATCCTTCGCAAGAAGGTCCCCTCAAGGACCCCTCCCCGGTGCGGCGAAGCACCCCGCCACCAATTCCCCCCGCAAGGACCCCCCCCGATCGCTTGATCAGCCCCGCCTCTACAACTCTCCTCGTCGAACCAACAATCACACCACCCCCGACGTCCGGAATCAGAACGATCGGGCACGCGATGCCCCGCGGACGAACAGCCGGTCCCGCGACCGCCGACCGCTGCTCCCTCCGCCCGTCGATTCCGACAAACGGCAGCCTGTGTCACTGGGTGAAATCGCCCGCGCTGGCGGGTCGGACAGATACAACGACACGTTGCACCAACGCCGTGGTCTGCGAGAGGATGAGAGAGTTAACAGACTGGCGCCTCGCGACTTGGAGCGCCGGACATCCCGAGACCGAGGTCCTCCTGTTTCGAACCGACCGCAGACGATCGGCGAGATGGCGCGGGCGGGCGGCGGTTCGTTGTTGGATCGTCGGTCCCGATCACGAGACCGGCGTCCTCCTCCGTCGAGTCGCCCGCAGCCAACCCTCGGCGACATTGCCCGGTCCGGCGGCGGCTCGTTGTCGTGTCGACCTCGGTCCCGAGACCGAGGTCCTCCTGTTTCGAACCGACCGCAGACGATCGGCGAGATGGCGCGGGCAGGTGGCGGCTCCTTGTTGGATCGTCGGTCGCGGTCGCGGGCACGGGCACCCCGCTCCCCTCCTCCATCCGGCCGGCAGTCGCAGCCGACGATTGGCGACATTGCACGGGCTGGCGGCGGGGACGTGTCGAGTCGGTCGTGTTTTGCAGACGCCCCGCGACGACAGAGCAGCAGCAGCGCAGACAGACACAGCACACACCACTCGACAGGTTACACCGACTCCCTCAGCGCCGCGGGTCGGACGGCTCCGTACGCCTCCACCAGTGACAGACCTCGAACCCAAGACACCCGATCGGCATTGCCAAACCAAGACAGATCAGCTACGGGCGGCAGCCGCACGCTGGGGGAAATCGCCCGATCGGGGGGGGGTTCGCTGGGAACTGTGCGGTCGCGGTCCCGCGGGCGTCCGGACCATCGCGAACCGCGACGGTCGAGGTCCCGTCGGCGTCCGGACAATCCACCTCAAGCGTCCTCCGAGCCGGTGCCCGCTGGTCGCGGGAGTTCACGATGGGAAGCCAAGGAAAGGAATACGCCCAGCAAACCCGCCAAAGATTCGGACGAGGGGGGAAATCTCCCATCGTCGAGTGGTGGTGCTGCTGCTACCACGTCTCGAAGTACTGGGGACAATGCCCAAGTGAAGCGAAAAGAGTGTGCGTATGCACACGATCGGAACCAACGGCCCCGGCATAACGACGACAACGATGTCACAGGGCGACCTCCGGCGTCGTCGGACTTTTACACGGGCCGCCCCCATGTGGATTACAGCAGCGCTGTCACAAGTCGAGACGACTCATTCCGACGTGCGGATCGGCTTGACCAAGGCAGCAAGTCGTCCCCGGCAAGATCCAGACACCAGCTGTCGTCGTCGAATGACCGAGAAGCTCCCGCGGAGAGATTAGCGGCATCTGCCGACCGATCGACGCCGGAACGACCCGTCATGGCACGAACGATTGAGATGCTGCAGGACAAGAAGGACGGCGGCGGCGACGGCGGCCATTACACGCCCGACTCGGACACGGGGTCGTTGCAGTTGCGCGACATTCTAAACCCCGCGCGGCATTCCCAGTATGAAGTCGACGAATGCGAAGTCGATTACAGCGACGACGACTAAGCCAAAGAAGTACCTATGTAAATATGACATGTGTTCAACGTGTGGATGGCCGAGTTCAAAGCTTTTGGCATGGAACGCGGTGGTGGAGAGGACGATGCTTGCTTAGGACATCCCGGGCATCGGCACTGGCCGCGCATTCTTGCGCCCGGTGATCTTTTGCATCAACTTGGACTTTTTCAACTTGGGCTGACGCCCCGACCCCGCTGGGATGCGTCCGCGCGGGTATGGTCGATCGTCCGATGTCATTTGCGTCTATGGACGAAGTGTGTGTGATGGAGAAGTCGAAGGAAGGGTGTGTGCTGATGGGGAAGATACACGTACGAAAGAGCGTTTGGGTTTGTCGGGATGGCGACGGGAGGACGACCCAGACGAGTGTGCACGTGTGGGGGTTGTGGCAGCGTCGTCGTCGTCGTCGTCCCCACTTGACTACCACAAAGAGCGTAATGAGTGGCGAGGAATATGCATAGAACGGAGAAGGGAGTTTGGGTGAGTCACCTCATCGCCGGACGCGCCGCCGTTCTCCTTGGTCTCCAAGCGAACGGCTTCATACTCGGCGACAAGCTTGGCCGTCTTGTTTGGATCATCTGAATGCAGAAGTTGGAAGATGTCCACGTAGGACATGCGCGTGGGTGCCGGCGGCGGCTTTACTTCGTCGGCCATGATCACTTCCATGAGTGCAGTAAGTATTACAGCTTCAATTCGGTTAATAATAGGAATTGTTGACCCTAATTCGGACTTTGCCTATTTCTATGTGACGTTTTATATAAACATGTCCTTTTTAATACAAATACAAAGAGAATTATTAAATTTGTATTAAAATTAGATCCAGGCACGTTAGTTTTGAATATTGTTCACCTCTGCAACAACACACGAAGGAGCGGCCAGCAACCAGGACACCCGACGATGCCGCTCACTATGAATGATGTGAATGGCGCTGTGAAGAAGCGAGTGTCTTACTTCTATGATTGTATGCATGATGGTGCCTTCTTGATGACACTCCTGACATGTTGTGCGTAGCGGAGATTGGCAACTACCATTATGGCCCCAACCATCCCATGAAGGCATGGATTCCTCATGTCATCGCGTTGTCACATGCATTTGTTCACTGTTGCTTGATTGTGTAGCCTCATCGCGTTCGCATGACGCACAACTTGGTGACGAACTACGGCTTGACCAAGCACATGCAAATCTACGTACGTCCAATGTTCGTACACGGATACCCCATTGAGAGCACAAGTACTGTATAGCGCCCCAAGTTGCTTGGATGGGAAGAGTTGACTCGATTCCACTCGGACGACTACATTCATTTCCTGCGATTAATCTCCCCGGACAACATGCATCACTACCTGCGTCAACTGCAGCGCTTCAACGTGGGCGAGGACTGTCCCGTGTTCGACGGTCTGTACGAATTCTGCCAGCTGTACGCAAGTGCCTCCATCGGCGGCGCTGCGCGCTTAAACGACAACAGCGCCGACATCGTCATCAACTGGTCGGGCGGGCTGCATCATGCCAAGCGGTCCGAAGCGTCTGGCTTTTGCTATGTGAACGACTGTGTGTTGGGCATTTTGGAGCTTCTCAAGTACGTTTGAACGAGCGAAATGGGGACATTGATGGGGAATATTCCCCATGATTAGGGAACACCAGCGTGTGCTGTACATTGACATTGACATCCACCATGGCGACGGCGTCGAAGAGGCTTTTTACACGACCAACCGCGTCATGACAGTATCGTTCCACAAGTACGGGGAATTTTTCCCCGGCACGGGCGATGTCAAGGTAGGTAATAGTATCATCGAAATTAATATACGAATGAATCCCCCCATCGATATATATATATATATATTCCAACAATAGGGAAACTATATTATATTTCTTCCCCCCTCGTAGGACATTGGGTACGGCGAAGGCAAGAACTACGCAGTGAACTTTCCTTGCCGAGACGGCATGGACGACGAAAGCTTTAGCGCGATCTTCCGATCGGTAGGTACCCCATATCCGCCCCGACATACCCAACCACGGTATTTAGGTGATGGCCAAAGTAATGGAGCACTTCGCCCCGGGCGCTATCGTCCTCCAGTGTGGCGCCGACTCGCTGTCTGGGGACCGCTTGGGCTCGTTCAACTTAAGCGTCAAGGGCCATGCCGACTGCGTGGCGTACATCCGCACGTTCAACGTTCCCATGCTCGTGGTCGGCGGAGGCGGCTACACGCTGCGCAACGTTCCGCGGGCGTGGTGCTATGAGACGTCTGTGCTGCTCGACGTCGACATTCCCGTACATTGTTTTTATGTTTCGTCCTGGGTATGTCTGGTATGAGTTGTAAACTACGGTAGGACGCGATGCCGTACAACGATTACTTTGAGTACTTTGGCCCAGAGTACCGGCTCCACATGCCCGTGAGCAACATGGAAAACCTCAACACGCCGTCGTATTTGAACGAAATCAAGGTATTATATATATATATGTCGGGGACGACGACACGTATAATATATGTCGGTGCGTCTTTTGGTAGCAATTGCTGTTTGAACAATTGCGACAACTCGACCATGCCCCCAGTGTGCCGTTTCACACGGTAGGAAGACTTTATATATATATATATACTTGGATAAATATATATATATATGGCCAGGTGCCGCCGAAAATCGTGGCCGACGAGCCGGACGAAGACATGGGCAACCCAGACGAGCACGCGGTCCACGACGCGCCGCAGCACCCCGCCGAGTACTTTGACAAGTGACGCGTGCGTCGTCATCCCTCGTGGAAGCAGCAGCAGATTGAACGGACGATCTAACGAGGAATAGTGATATTGTGCTTTCGAGTGAAATTTCATTGTGTTGTGGTTTCTCGTTGGAATTTAAATCGATTTGATTGGCTACCTCAGATGAGCTCAAAATTATTAGCCAATCAAAACCTTCTCAATGAAATTCAACCAATCAGATCGATTGTGGATCGGTTTGGTCGATTGCACCCCCTCCCCAAATTTGTATCAAATCGACAATATGTTGGTTGATAACTCTGTCGTGGATTCGTTTTTCGAAGACACGATTACAGTATTACAAACTAGGCATATATATCTGTAGGGAGACTACAAACAAGGCATATATACTAGCATCTGTAGAGCGACTACAAACAAGGCATATATATATGTAGGGCTACAAACAAGATATATACATATATATCTGTATGGCGACTACAAACAAGGCATGTACTTCGAAGTATATAATAGTATATGCTAGTACAGTATATCTGTAGGGCGAGGTTTCGAAAATAACTACATTGTGGGGTTGCCTCCTGCCAGTAATGTTATATATCTCGTGGCTGGCTCGTAAGTCGACAGAAGCAACTGCACATACCCAAGTGAGCAACTTGCAACTGTACGTACATGTGCGACGTCGTCCAGTCTCCAGGATACTCGTGAAAAAGCAAGAAATGTCATCCCATTTGCATTCAGTTGGCATGCAAGGACCACTAACTCCAGTACTATGCGGTACTAGTATTAATATTAGTATATTTTGTTCACCCATGGAGCAAACACTGGATGATTACATAGTAGTACTCGTTAATGGTGCTCTGTCGTTAGTACATTTATTATAGCTGCGGTCGGGGTAGGTCGAAGCGGTCGGTGGTTTTCGTGTAGCCGTCGCCGCCCAGCTTGCCCAAGCCCACAAACCGCGCGTCGTCCACAGGGCGCCCGTCACGAGCCACGGCGTCGCGCACGGCAAAGCGCACCACGTCCAGGTACATGACGCTGCTGTTGCCGATGGCCACCACGTCCCGCAGCGTGCACTCCATACGCACGAGGGCGGCGGCCACGCCAGGCGCGCGCACAAGTGTGCCGGGGACGCTGTCGATGCCCACGGCTTCGAACTCGCTCACGTCATGCGGATAGTTGGCACACGACACGTTCATGATGCCGACGAGGTCGTGGGTGACTAGATTCACTTGGCATTCCTTGGTCTGTCGAAGGTTGGCCAGTGTGTCCTTGTCGGCGCCGACACGAGGATTGACTTGCGTGACCGAAAGCACGGGAGGATACGTGCTCGCGACTGTGAAGAACGAGTACGGCGCTAGATTGGATACGCCCGCCGCGCTCAGTGTACTGATCTACTCGACGAATGCTACATTACGCGAAGAACATGGATGGAGCTTAGTATTATACCCAAGCGATGGGTCGCGGCACTACCGTCCCGACGAGAAGTTGGTACGCCAAGCGGCTGTCAATGTCTTTGGTGTCGTAGTGTTTAACATTGGAAGAAGTGGACATGTCTTGTGCTGTTGCTGCGGGCCTCGCGTGATTTACAGTTAATGCACGTCCACGCCACCTCGTTGCTGTCTTCACCCACAACATGACGGGCTGATCATTCGATATCTTATTGGAGATGATGGTATCCGGAAATTATCCGGAAACCCCGCATTATCATTGAATGTTGCATCCCATGTCGACGGAATAGTTTTACAGTTGTGTTTGCAAAAAAAACTACAACACCACCGACAAGGGTTGGGTGTTAACACCCAGACCAATGAAATCGCAGCAACCCTTGAGCACTGCATCGTGTGGTCGTGCGACGCACGTGTGCTTTGTACGTGGCTTGCTGCTGATCCGGCGTGGCGGCGCCGGATAGATCGCAGCCCATGGCTGACGCTTCTTCAGCCAACGGCACGAGCCTGTCCTTTGTAATCTGTTATGATTTGATGTACAAGTACTGCAACCTCGTGTGCGTGTCGCTCACGGGCCAAACGACCAGCCAACCAGTATAAATACTAGTACCAGTCGTTATGACATTCCACCTACCGGTAAACTCAACCAATCGCACCAGAACATGTGACTTCGCTGCGACATGGCTTGGTCTTGGTGGACGTGTCGACCTACATACAAAGGCACACCCGTCGCCGTCCCCACTCTGCGCGTACTACTCTCGGCACACATCGTATAACGGTATCCATTCTTATGCAAACACAAACGCTCCTCCATGGGATGCAGTCATCGATAGAGAGCACTCGCCATGGCTTGTATTTCGTCGTGGGCTGTCCGCAGCTCCTCGCGCAATTCGATCGCGGCGATAGCGCCGTCATGCAAAGCCAGTGCAATTTCTTTCCAGCTTAGATGCGCAGTAACAGTCGATTGCATCTCACGAGCCTGCTTTGCATGGATGGACAAGTGGGCATACTGAGCGGCAAGCTCCGAACATTCGCGACGTAGCGCTTCCAAGTCGCTTCCGATTCGAGCACGATGGTTCTGCTGTCTGCGAGGAGTTTGAAGATGTTTCGTCATGTGCTTCTCTACGTGTGATGGGGCGTTGTTGCAACGTGTAGAAGATCCGAAGGTCAACTGTCGCCGCCGTGGTTCTTGCTCCTGGTGTTAAGGTCAACGATGATGGACATTGCCGACGGCATTGAATATCGTGACCAATATTCAATGCTTCGATTTCAGTGCAAATTGCACCTAACTCGAAGCTCTCTCGTACTTCGCATTGCAGTTTTTGCATGTGGGCAGAATAGACGACGCTACTCAAGTATGCGCAACCAGAACTCCAAGAATCGCTTGAGCACGGAACCATTTCTGGCAACCTGCCCCGGGAATACAATGCATCTTTTTTCATATGTGGGATCTTATAGTCATTCCCACCATTGCAGAGCATGACCTTATCGAGGCACCTCTGCAAGGTAAGAAAGTTCTTGTTCACAGTGAGCGGACTGACACGAGTCCACGCCTCCTCGGTTGCCGCAGCACTCTCCTCCAAACTGATCGAATGCTTCTCAACTTGCAGCGTCTGAATGGCCCGAAAGAAACCCAGGTCGAGTACATTCAGGTCGGGTGAGTTGGGCGGTTGGAAGACGACTTGCACGTCCCACCCCTCCGCCTTGCACGCAGCAACGATGTCCACATCACTTGGAGGTATATGGGGTCGAAGGTTGTCTTGCTGAATCTTGACGGCCCTTGACTCGCCGCTTGGTCACTTTGAAGGAATCGCTGGGATCACATTGTCGATTAGCATTGCCTTGTACGTCAGCCTTGCCACGTTCAAAGTCTTCATGATAGGAGTACCAGCATCACGTCGACAACTGCGACGCTGAGAAAAGGACAGTCTCGGTGAAGTGCCACGTACCGATCTTCCCATTGAACCATTCTTGCTTGGTATCGTCACAGCGTGGTCGAGCCACAGCAGACAGGAACATGACCTTCAGCAGATGGCGCTTGAACTTACATGTTCGCTGCTAGATCTTCTCGCCAGGGGCACCAATGACCTTCCTTTCCTTTGCAGTCTTGTCATGAAGAACCACTTCTCGTCCACATGGACCGTGTCGTACATGGCGTCGATGAACTTCTCGCCGTTGATGTCGCGAACTTGATCGAGGGCCCAGTTGAGGCGGCACACTTTGTTGAAATCGGTCAGCGATGCCTTCACTACACTTGAGTACTTGGCAATGACGCTGCGCTTGTATTACGTGTGGGCATGCCCAACGTATGGGCTACCGCGAAAGCAGTATCGTCGGGACTGGGGAATGGTTTGGATGCGCTGCGGAAGGTCAGTGTAGACCTGCTTGCGTCGGTTCTTGCCCATCATCTGCTGCCCGACTGAATGGCTGATCGTCTTGTTGCCCGACAAGTCGACAGAGGCACGCTTCCAGATCCGTCGAACAGTCGTTGGGGTGCAGCCGAACATCTCGGCCACCGTGTCAGCTGCACGCATGCCAAGCTTGCCGCTAGGGGTACACTTGGTCAACAAGTGCTGGACCATGTTGGTGCACTCACTGTCCGTGAGGTTCTTCTTGTGCTGACCCTTGCATATCTTTTGGAATGACTGGAGTGAACGAAGTCAGCTGGGTTTGAATGCCAAACCCCGCCCAGCACTTGGCGGGAAACCAAGCCGGATAACAAGGGGTGGAGATGATCTTACCGTAGTGTGGATTCAATAATGGGTGATTATAACCAATCAAATGAGTGTGTACAACTTAAATGGTTAAAATGTATTTCGCCGAAAATGTTTCCTACAAATTCCGATCACAATACAAAAAAAGCTCAAGTTTTCAAAAAACGAACATTTATTCCTCGACAGAGGTAGTAAGTACTACGTACTAGTATTGTCAAATCGATTCGAAACTGGAGCCCTCAGCAGAATCGAATGTCTTAGGAGAATCGATTAAAGAACCGCCTGAGCCAATCAAATCACGTTATGGCAAGTTTCTGCCAATCCAAATGTTTGACCCCTCCGCATTGGGCAAATGGATTCGAATGCTATTTGGTGAAATGACTCTCAAGTCCAAATTTGGGTGAAATGCACAATACCTCCAGACGGGCCATTTCAAAAATGTTGAAGGACGGAAATAGAGCTGCCAAAACACAGACCTCATAAATATAATAAATAATTACCCCTCCACCTACTAATTGTAAGATACTTCGAAGTAATATAATAAAAAAAGTTTCTTTTATATTAATATTGCTCGTCGATACTGAAGCTAACTGTAATTTAGAATTTGTACCTTTGCCATGTTGGCGAGAGAGCAGCACTTCCGCGTGGTCAATTGCGCGGCAAAATAACTGTAAACAGCTCGATGGAGATTTCATTCCGTTCCATGTCGATGGTGCACGTACTGTCTCAATAGAAGTGACTGGGAGTCCGTACAAGACTGATTGCTCGTGAAATAGAAGGATAGTGCGCTCACATCGACCAATATCCAGATGAATTTCTACCTTCCTCTGATTTTGAGCTCAGGGAGATTCAGCGCTTGAATCTCCAAATCGATTTGAGATAGGCACAATTTGGAGATTATATTTCAAAGGGTTTAGGGCTGGTCTGGATGCCACGACATAAAATTATGCCATAAACCGTTTTGGCAAGTCTGCAATTTTTTCCAAAAGTCCCATATCCCATGAAAAATAGGAGAAAATAAGTATCTACAAAGTTTCTGGATGCGAAAAGAAGTATCTACGTATCTACAAAGTTTCTGGATGCCAGTTGAATGATAGAAAAATTATTCGAATTCCGATTGAGAGTGAAGTGCAAGATTTCAACGTGGACACAAACCTCCAAATCGGTCCATTTTTCTTATGCCCTAAAACACCCGATTCTCAAGAATGGTGTGGCATAAATAAATAAAAATTGAACTTTGGTGGCATCCAGACGCACAAAATCTCGAAAAATGGAATATTTCAACATTGGCAACTTTTCAACGGCCATTTTATGCCATTTTGCGTGGCATCCAGACCGGCCCTTATTAACTGTAAATTAAGGTGTACTGTACATTGGACTACTAGTATGTGTTTTTCAGTCAAATTTGCCTATTTTGGAGGATTGATGAAATCGCCAACTAATTGAACAAATGAGTATGATTGGCTATAAAGAATGATAGTTGCAATATGATTGGCTAAAAAGATTGATTGCAGTATTGCTGTCACAAAGATACCTCTTCAACTTCAACTTAGTTTTATATGAAATTTCGAAGGTCCGGCGATGGTTCGGTGGCTCATTCAACCAACCGCTGGAGGGAATTTTGAGTAAAACAAACAATATCTCAATGCGAAAAGTGCTGACCATAAACTCTCTAATATTAGAAGGTTTGGCCATAAAATATCAGAGGTTTAGGAAAATAACCTGCGAAAGTACATTCTTCTACCGGATACAGTAGACATTATCCGGCATTACATAGCTTATCCGGGTATGACACACTTATCCGGTCATATTTGGTACATTTCTATTGGAAGGGTCGCCAACTTTGGCCTCCCATACATTTTGTCAATTTTGCGAATTTCCGCGATTGGCTTCTATTAATATTAGTCGATTCGACTTGCGCTAAACTATCGATTTATGGAGTTATTTCACTCAAATTTCGTCATTGAAGAAAAAATGGAGCGGTTTTGGACCTCATATTTTTTACAGGCGTGCACTGTGAAGCATCGACGTGTTTCGAAGGGTGGCGCTTCGGATGTAAATGTGACAGCACGCGGGTGAACGAGCCAAACGCAATGGAGATGCAATCGACTTGTCAATGAACTTCCGTGAACATATACGTATACATGTTGCAATGGGATGTCCCATGGCTCGAGGTAATACAAAAAGTAACGTTAGTATTAATACTTCAAGTACAACGTTGTAAGTTACACATTTCATTGAGCTTACTGGGCTGAGTTTCATTTCAATCTCACTCCAAGTCGTGACTGGTTACGGGGCCGCATAGATGTTGGGCGCCAGCATTTCTCGCAACTGCAGTAACCAACCATACGTGACTGACGAGCATGCAATGTAGCCATTGAAGTGAAACACTGTTCAACTATACATAGGACGTGTCCGTATGGCCCGACGATATATTGACCGAAAACTCCCTAATATGCTGGCCTGAGATCCAGCGCTTCGATGACGTACAAGTACTACGTAATACTAGCACCAGTACTACTGTAGTACGTAGAAGTATAGTAAGCATGTACGTAGTATACTAGTACTAAGTAGAAGTAGTATTAAAACTATTAATAGTAACGTTACTACGGTAAGTACTTCTAACTGTACTCCTACACCATTGTGACGGAGCAGCGTAGCCAACGCTGTTTGCGATGCACGACCTTTGGAACTGTACCTGCGATCACATTCAAAAGGCTGCACATTCCCGACAGCGTTGATGGGGGCCATCAATTGCAAGTTTCATGACCAACAGGTGCTCATGTCGTGTGCCACGTGGCAAGTCGTGGTGATTGCCGTCGGAGTTCGCACCAATCAATCCGTTGGCACCGCTGGAAGCGATCAGAAAGGTTCATCCTCGTAGTTCGAAGTGAAGCAGTTGGCGAAGTTTCCTCAAGAAACCTCCGTGGATGGGAGACATGTCTTAGTTGATAGACAGCATATTTTTGAGAGTCATGGTGTCCTCTTGAAGCTGCTTGCGACTGTACGTACAGAACGTGTACTACGTACACTGCTACTGATGGCGGCCATAGGTAGTTACCGAACTAAACCTAACGTTAAACGTCTTTACGTGTCATGGAGAGAGAAGCAGTCCATCCAAAATTTGTCGTCTAACTCTCACAATGGCTCTGAAAACACTTGTGCCCACGTCGCCACGGTTGATTTGTACTCCATGAGATCATGAGGTTGGTCGTCGTGTCGTGCCAAAGTGGTATTACACACCTCGGGCAGATGTGCTGACATTTCTGGCGTGCGAGCAACTACATGCCGTGGAACGTGGAGCCACTTGGCGGAAATTCTTGCAAGAGCATAATACCGTACGTGGTACGTTTTCCATATTCAAATTTGCCCCACCTCGTCGTCATGAGCCTCGTGAACATTCGATCGTCCGTCGTGGACGCCAAGCGCGACGGCAACCACACCGAGTACGCCATCCGCATCCAGACCCACGACGACGACATCGTCGTGTACCGCCGGTACTCGGCCTTCGTCCAGCTGCAAAAGTACGTACACCGCCACCTCTTCGAAGGCCAATGCTGCGGTGGCAAGTGCCTCCTGGAATCGTTCCTCACCAACGTGTTTGAAACCGAGTTCCCGAACGCCAACTTCTTGACGAAAAACTCGGCCAAAGTCGTGCAAGAGCGCGTGTATTTTTTGACCGACTTCCTGCAGCTCCTGCAGGACGCGTTAGCCAAATGCCCGCCGCGCATCATTCAGCGCTGCGAAGGCGAAGGATGCAAAGTGTCCAAGTTGCTCAAGAGCTTTTTGGGAATTGTCTCGCCCAACCCAGCCCACGTCTAGTAAACGCGACTCGACTGACTTTCGTAGCCCCAGGTGTGGGAGCCCGGGATTCAACGAGACTTGACAACCGCCATCCACAAACAAATCCATGTCCCAAGGACATATGGACGTGGTGGATTATCTGTACGCTGTGGCCGTCGTCTTATTTAATAGCAACACACATCCTAACGTCCATGCTTACTTCATAAGTGTCGATTGTCCTACCGGTAATGGGCATTCGGTGGTGCATCACCTTGGCCAGCCCAAGGTGATGGATGGCTTGGTCAGCTGGCTCCATTGTAAAACCAGGTTGCAGTCAGTTGTTTTCAGCTACGTTCGGAGTAGTAATTGGAGCCAGCGATGAAAACTGCAGTCGTAGCCGTTGAAAGTACTGTGAGTCATTGGAAAGTATTCAGAACGGAAATTCTCACGGGTGATGTAAAGAGACCTGTAATCTTGTTACTTACTGTACTTGTGCCCTCAATTGATGGGATTCGAACTGTACTGTACACTACTCCCACAAAACTCATGTCACTACTGTACGGTACACTGTACTTGTACTACAGTAATAGTAACGTTATGAGTACTAAATCACGCCAACCTGTGGCTGTCCTCCCCTTCCCACGTGGACGGCCTGGCAATGTCGAGAAAGCTTTTGATCAACTTTGTGACTTTGCAGCCATGGGCTTCACTCAGCCGCCGCGGCCGCCCAGGACATTTCAACAGGGCGTCGTGCATTCGCTGTAGGAAAAAGTGCAATTTCGCTATTCGGTGCTGCACCAGCTTTTCCGTGTTAATGACGCGAAACGAGTCGAGTTCGATTTCGTCAAACACACTTCTCAAGACGGAGTCGAGGTGGCATGTCCTTTGGTGGCAGCACGGGCCCGTGGTCAAGAGGCGAAGGGCGATTTTCTTGAGCTGGGCAAAGGCGGAGTACCGCCGGTGCACGCGGGTCTCGTGGGGGCCTGCGCACACTTGAATAGCGTACACGATGTGTGACCCGTCCCGAAAGGCCCCCAACACACACGTCTGGATGTCAAAGAGGGAGGTCATGGGGGACAATTGAACAATAGTTAATGCAGGATTGTCGGTGCAAAAACTGAAGCAAGGGGCTAAGGATATATATATATTTTCTATCCAACGCAACAACGCTCCAGGGTGGGCTTCTGGACGACAGGCCAACGCTCAACTCGAGGGTTTGACGACGTCTCGTCGGACCATAATTGTGCTTGGGTGTTGGGAAGAACTACAGTAACGTTAGTATGAAGGTTCCAACGAGCGGTTCGTGAGATCCCGCCAGAATAATGTGTGTTTGTTCTCCGACTGCGCCAAGAAAAGGTGAGGAGTCGCGCCTTTCGTTCACAGCATCAACTAACGTTGGGTTATGGAAAACGCAGCTTACCACGTAGCGTTAGATAGGTTTGTGGTTTCAAGCGTCCAAGCACTCCAGATCGCTCAATAACGTCTCTATTGACGAGCAGCAACGCGTTCAAGTGAACTTTATAAAGGCAACGTTATAACTTTACAAGTCAAATGGACGCCACCATGATCAGTCGTGCAATATATCCTCATCACACAACAACAGAAGGCAAGCTGTGCTGCTTCAAATCTGACATACTACGTATGTAGTACAACTGTTATTAACGGTTCATATCTGCGATGTCAGCTTCAGCGCCGTTATACAGGGCTCAATTGGGGGTCGACAATTTCGAGAAAACCACAACGTCTTGGTATATAACTCCTTGTTGGTAGGACACGATTGGATCAACCAGGTCGAAGTCAATATACATGTAGCAAGCGACGCGGGGAAAAGTGGGGGGCATGCTGGAATACGAGGCAAAGCGGTGGTCATGAGCAGTGAGGTGAGTGCCTCGGATTATGGGACCGATTTCGTTCCGCAACTTCGTCGAAAACAGTGGAAAACCCAAAGACTGTCGGGGAAATACACACCGATCCTGCTACCAAAGGCGGGAAATACTTTACAACGTTCACGTTACTCAGAATATATCCGTTGCATTGGCCTACTCTTCATGAGGCACGGCAAGGTAGGCACTTGTAGGGTTCACGTGATAGGGCTTGGCAAACGCACAGTAGAGCAGCGCCACCAAAGCCATGATTGCACACGCCAATCCAATTCCAGTCCCGACTGCCGTCTCCACCTTCGGCGGCGCCATTTGTTCCTCCATGGCAGTGTTCGAGTCTCGATTGGGTTCCGGTGTTGGATAGTAGCGCGGAGGCGCGATCGCATGAGGAGGAATATCATGATGTGGACCGTGTCCTGGGCAATAATGCATGCGTCGGCACAGGGCCATAGTCGTCGACCCATTCTTCAGTCCCGCCAGAATCGCGGGCACGTGGTGCGTCAATCCCCGACAGCCATCGCGATGCGGGCGACCTCTCTCGCACACGATTTGCGTGCCAATTTGTACGGCTTTCACGGGAAGGTCCCGATGGCGTCGGGTGGCGTTCACATAGTGCACAACCACCCAGCACTGCATGCACTTGGGGTGGTACCCTCCAAGCATGGCATCACTGGGCTCGATGGTTGGCTGCAGGCGAGCAGGAACGTCATGCTTACGACACATGGGCAATTGATAGTGGCAAATCTTCCCCACGCTGTCCCCTCTCTGGAGCGACTCCTTGATAGCCATGGTATTGTCCGTGAGGTTGTGGCACGCCGGAGACGATTTGTTCCGGGCCAGCCACTTGCACGTCAAGTCGACCCCCCCGATCAGCGTGGGGCACGACACTGGCAGGCGGCGCACCTGGTCAATGTACGTGGCCGTACTTCGGCAAAGCATGCACGATAGCCACGCGGCGTCGTCCACCGGGGGGTGGAAGTCGGGGGGCAGCACGGCAGCGTGCGCGGCGTTCCAGTTGACGACGTCGTCCACGGAGGGGAACATTGCCTCGGAGGCTGCCCACGCCATGCCGACCCCTTGGAGCAACAGCACTACCCAACCCACCATCAGCATGCTGAAAACGAAAATCGGAATCTGCCGATGATGTTCATGTTTGGAGAGATTGGGACGAGGCCCGTCCTGTCGCACGAGAGAATCGGCGCCCCTCAACGGCGTTATCCAACCCTATCCACATCGTACTGTAAACTATTCGTTCAGTAATATTGGATACATTTCACCTAAATTTGGGCTTGTGTGAGTCATTTCCCAAGCAGCATTTGAATCCGTTTGATACTGTAAGCTTGTACAAACTATACTTTACAAAGATTAGTACATACTAGTATACCAGTATGGTTTTGCCCAATGCGGAGGGGGAGAGGTTCTTTAATTCATTCTATTATTGTGTGTTCTACTCCAAATTTCTATGGGCGGTTCTTAAATCGCCCCGATCCGAATGTCCGCGAAATGACCCCAATGACAAAAAGTGGGATTCCTCTCACAAAACAATCGATAATAATCACCCCTATTATGACGCAGTTTCCTGAGCTGAGTCAATGGACGACGATCCAATCTTGCAGCATAAACAACTGAGCGCGTAGGCCTCGTATGCGAGTCTCTTCGCATCCCCAACACACATGCACACCTATGTACAGTACACACAAACTTCTCAAGTACATCAACTGGACGCCCGCGCTACCGCAATGTGCGACTACACTTCGTCGTACTGCCCAGGCAGTTGTGGAAAACTGAGTTGGATGTCCATTTTCTGCCCAAATCTTCGAAATTCTAACCAATGAAATCATCGCGGCTATTTGTTGGCGATTTTCACAATGGCTCACAATTGGCAAGTTTAACCGGAAAGCACAATACGACATTCGAATTGACAATACTCCAGTTCTATTAATACAGTAGTATTGTGGTTCGATACGAATTTCCAGACTTCATCGAATCGAATCTCGCCGCCGAGTCGAATCACGAATCGACGCTATTGGCTAATCCATTTTTGAGTGGATTTGATTGGCTTTTGCAGAAAGGACAAGTAAATTCACCCAATCAGAACTCCGGCGTGATTATTCATTATTGCTTTGACAAACCAGGCGAATTTTGGAAGTTTATAGCGAATTCATAATACTACTCTGCTCTAATAGTTATTAATAATATTAATACTTGTAATAAAACTGAGTTTTCTGAAGCATACTGTATTAACGTTGTCGGAAATGGTTGCATTTAGATATCTTTCATCGACGAGTATAGGAGCCGCTCGTATAGCTCAGGTGTAAACGTCATCTACTAGTATGTAACGTGACCCACCAGTGATGTGCCGATTTATTCGTTTTTCTGTCGTGAATTCCTCGTCAAGTATTTATCCTATAGCGACGTGGTGCACGTAACCTGAAAGAGTTCGTCAAGAACTGTCACATACTAGTACAGTATACTACGTAGTATAGCAAAAGCACCTTGCTAAGAAGATATTCCCCGAAGGATATTCAGGGAAATTATATTGGAAAATTCGTGTGGATTCTAGGTGTGCAAAATCACTCTACTGAATGGACTTTGGATAGGAGTGCCTGAACGGCTGCTCTCATGGTGTCATCGGTGAACGGCATTATTGGAGGCGGCATTTGATTGTCAATTCAAACTCGAAAACCTTTTAAATATAATAATATTTTCCACCATAATGTTTTACAAGATTGTGGGAGAGGTTCTGTGTTGTCCAATAATACAGCTCGAACGATTTAATTGGATGAAATAAATCGGCACATCACTGGTATATTCGGCACATTGACGTTAATAGTACGTTTCGTTGAACTTTATAATGCAGTCTACAGCCGTAAGCCTTACTACTAGTACGATTCATCGGCCAAGTAGTACAGTAGTACGGGCTAAACGTTGTGTTGTGGTTTGGTTCATATACTAATAGTATATCTATACTTCCAAGTATACTACTCGCATATATTGTTGTTGTTACGCGTCCATTGCAAGACAAGCAGGTCCGTCCCACATCTCTTGAAACTCGTCGGGTCCTTTCGACCACGCCAAGTAGACCACGGCACCGACCATCGTCGGCACGATGTACATGAGCGCCGGCTGGCCCGCCACGAAGTTCTGCAGCACGATCGCCATCACGTTGGCGCCCAGCAGCCCCACGGCGTACGCGACGCACGCCCACACAAAGTAGCCTTTGGTCAGGGGGCGGGCGTGGCAGTAGTCGACGCGCAGGGCGAAGGACGCGAGAAGTGCCGGGAGGACGATGTCCCCGAGCCCGAGCAGCGAGTTGCCACCGTAGTTGGACAGCACCAGCGGAATCGTGAGCACGAGGGGAATGGTGTCGTGACCGCAGGCCGCAGACTCGGGGTGGCGTAGGCAGAACGCTGCATCACAGCCATCGCATTAAAGGGACAAACAACATGGGAGACCAGACAAACATGTATATATATATAAACATATGTTACCAATCATCCGAGTGTCGAAAAATATTTCATCACTCGGATCAACCCATCCAAAACTTGGTGTGCTGCGTTGAAGATTCATTCACCAGGGCATAAACAAATGTCGACACAAGATGTAGCCAATCAGAGTGTCGAAAACCAAGCCGTTCAACCAATCAAAACGCTGGTGTTACCTGTCTGTCCATGTTTTCAAAAACGAAAAAGATAAAAATGAAATAGTATTGTGAATTCGCTATAAACTTGCAAAATTCGCCTGGTTCGTCGAATCAATATTGAATCACGTCGGAGTTCTGATTGGTTGAATATACTTGTCCTTTCGCCAATCAAATCCACTCAAAATTGGATATTAGCCAATAGCGTCGATTCGTGATTCAGCGGCGAGATATTCGATTCGACGAAGTCTAGAAATTCGTATCGATTCCACAATACATTGGTTCTTCGATTCTATAAATATATACCAGTATATATATATATATATATCCCACATATCTACAACGTACATACCGTTCAAATCGAGCGACACTTTGCCGCCTCGGGACGCGACTTCGACCATCACGTTCGACCCAAACACAAGGGGGGAAAAATAGACGAAAAATACATCGTACGCAAACGCAACGCCAAGGAGTACGGTTGCCACCTTGAGACTAGTACCACAAGCAAACAATATCAATCATCTATATCTACACTTGTATATAGTGGGCTACTACTAGAAGATGATTGAACGGTATCGCATATATATATATATCGCACCTTTGAATGTGAATCGAGTCGACAAACACAACGCAGAGGCAAATGCCGAGAAAGTTTTGCAATATCCACACGAACGGGTGATGCCGCTCGAGAAACCACCACACAACGAGCGCCAGCGATGGCCATACGCTCCAGAACGCCGGCCAGTTGCACCCGACGCCTTGGTGAAGGGGCAGGACGTGGGTGAGCAGCGGGTACGTGAGCAGGTGGGTGAGGCATACCCACGCCGCGAGCGCAAATAGGCACTGGACAAACAGGATCACGTGGACGTAGTACATGAGCAGCAGCATGCACGAGCCCATGACGAGGAAGAGAAGCGCGTGCTGCAGGGTCATGTTGAGCGGCTCTTCGTGCGCGTCGCGGATCGGCGAGTACGTGTGGTGGAGTAGGACGGACGGCGGCAGGTCAGGGGCGGACGACGCATGCACGTGCGCGGCAAAGAGGCGCTCCTTGGCCGCTGAATAGTAGGCAGAGAACACGACGATGGAGACCCCGAGTGCCCAAATGAGCAGCATGCTCCAGTTCCACGGACTTTCATCCTGGGGCAGCGACACGGTCACGAACGTCGCGTTCGGGTGTTCGACAAAGAAGTTCTCGACCGTCGCTCCGTCCAGCACGGTCAGGTAGACGCTGGGAATGGTCACGGAGGACGACATACCGGGCGCCGTCGAGCCGTTCATGGCGATGAGGATGTTGCGCACGCAGCAGCGCTCTTGATGCAGCGGCGCGAACACACAAGTTGAACTGGCGCAATTGGCGCTTTCTTCGCAAAAGTCACCGGCCCCGAGGGTGCAGTCCACTTGGTTGGGCTGCTTCAAGGCGGCAGAGGGAGTGTCTCGGACAAGCACGAGCGCGGCACCGGCGGCTTGCGCATGAAGCACCTTGGTTTCAAACGAGCAATCGCCGCGATCGACGAGCACCGCCTGGTCTTGCACGGACGACACAAGTGGTGCACACGCATCGAGCGGGTTTGCCAACGCAAAGGACAGGTACGACGTGGACGTGACCGCGGCGGGAAGAGGTGGACCGAACAGTGACGGAGACACATACATGCTCGTGGACACCTTGTTGTCCAGCGACGTGAGTTCCAGCACCGCCAAGGAGATGTTTGGGAGCGGCACGGTCGCATGACTGGCAAGCGTGTTGATGCTCTCTGCGGCAGACAAGTTCTTGCATGCCACAAGACCAATGGCCGGCGCCAGGAAACACACTCGAAGCCGCATCCTCACAGCCGCCAAGGAGGGTGGTATGATTCAACTCCATTGGATTTCCGGATAAAATCTCGAATCTATCGAATTAGTGCCATCATTAGTGCATGTCGTTTGGGAATTAAATCGATGCCTTTGTGACATTCACTCCGGTTTAGCCTACAGAACCTATTGAGTGGTAGAACCGAAAAAGGTAGTAAATCGATGGGAATTCACGTATCCGTTGAAGATTTGCTTTTGGACGGGTTAGTGTGCTAGTCGAGCGGCGCCGACTGCCACCGCCACGTCAGGGTCAATATGACTGTTGGGCTCCCGTCCAAACATCTGTGCTAGCTGGGCTTGAATCCAAGGAATGCGCGAGGACCCGCCGACCAGCACCACTTCGTCGATGTCGTCGGTGGTCATCATGTTGCCTTCGAGCACTTCCTTCACGGGTGCCATGGTTCGCTGGAGGGTGGGGAGGCATAGTGCTTCCCATTCTGATCGCGTCATGCGCAGCCGCAGGACGTCGCCCACCGCAACGGACCCCACGGCCTCCTGGACCACACACGACGCTTCGCCCTCCACGTCAAAGCTCAGCTGTCGCTTCAATTGCTCGGCGACGCCGCGGATGCCCGCGGCAGTGCACGGAAACACATTTGGCTCGTCCGACGTCCTACCGCTCCTCCATTAATCTCTGAGACCCTTCCGGCGCTACGTACTGGAGGTCAGGAAGGCTATGTCCCCCTACAAGTTGCTCGAACTGGTGCTTCAAGTGACCACTCAATTGATCGTCCAAGTCTTCGCCTATCACAGTACCACTTCTGTTGTATATTCTTGGCTGCCAAACTATATATGTACCCCCCAAGTGATTGTCTCCTGCAGTGTCCATGACTTGGAACGATCCTTTCTGCAGGTACAGCAGCGACACGTCAAGAGTCCCCCCGCCAAAGTCAAACACGAGCACGTTGTGGACGTTGGGCTTGGTGTGCAGGCCGTACGCCAGCGCCGCGGCCGTGGGCTCAACCAGCACGTTGCGCACTTTGAGCCCGGCGCGTTCGAATGCAGCCACTGTGGCCTTGCGCTGATTCGCATCTACATTGCATGTCGTAAAGCTAGATAGAATGTATATCGGCCAGGCGACCAAGCACAGATATACATACAACCGTACCAAAGCCAGCTGGAATGGCAATCACAGCACCGTAGATCTACCATCATCGAATGGCATCAACAACATTGTCAAGTGTGGTGTAATATATACCTATTGCACGTACCTGGTCGTGGCCAAGGTAGGCCATGGCCGTTTCCTTGAGCGTCTTCACGACGAAGTACCCAATGTCCACAGGCGACACGCAGGACGGATGGCCAGGAACGCTCAGCCCAAAGCACACGTGGTGATCGCCAGTGGTGTTGCCGAGGAGCGGAAAGTCGTACAAGCTAGCGTCCGCCTCAATCGTCGCGTCAAATCTACCAAACAGATTAGAGATGGATGCGCACGGGGGGTATATACAACGTACTTGCGACCGATGAAGCGCTTCGCATTGGAGATCGTGTGTTTCGGGTCCACGCGGCGATGGTGGCGCGCGTCGCGGCCAACGAGGACTCCTGCATCGCGGTGAAGATGGGAGCGTACACGAGGAAGCACGTACCCCCATGAGGTTTGAATGCGACGATAGAAGGCAGGAGAAGGTTGCCGTTGGCGTCGGGCATCACGGTCACGTTGCCATGGCGGTTGACCGCCACGACGGAGTACGTTGTGCCGAGGTCGATGCCAACCACTACATCGAGCATGAGGACACCCATGCCATGGAGCTAGAACAATACGTACGATGTTCCTTGCCATAGTGACCTGAACGTGCCAAGAGGACGGCGACAGCACAGAACGCCGCCGACAGGAAGAAGAAGACCGTTCCGGCGTTCACCATCACGCGTTACGTGTCGAAATTTCCGAACCGATTTGCACGACGTGGCACAAGTTTTGACAATTTTCAGCAATGGACCGAGAAATTGGCAAAAATGCAAAATCGAAAAAATACTGAATAATATTTACAGATTATTTACAGTAAGATTGAACAACGGCGACTAATTTGATCGGGAAATTCCACACCATGTGACAATCTTAGGTTGCATCAACTACTACGTAGTACAGTAGCTAAGTAAACATACCGGTGCACGGAAAATAATCGTGGCAATTGTCAATTGTTTTGATAACAAACTACTATTAATAGTACTTACAGTAATGTACATATTCCATGCATGGTCATGGACGCGTTTACTCGAAGTGACGGGAAATTTGCCAACACAAGTTTCCTAGTCGATCTCACTTGCACATCAGTACTTTACACTGGTTAGATAATTCTTTGACAAATTCCCAAACAGCAGGTACCCCCGGTACATATTTGACAAGTCCAAAACCAATGTACAACATTATAACTCCCCTACCTTTACAGCAATAGGGGAATTTCGACCAAACTTTTAACAGCCAATCAGGACGCGTGAATTGAGGATTTCTTGCATAAATGAGTATAGTGGTGTCTCTACAGTACAACGCATGTCAGCTATGTAGGTGTGAAGGCGTCACTGTGGTTAGCGATAGCTAACCACAGTAATGCACATCACCCCGAGAATGACATTAATAACGTTAGTTCGAAGTATGCGTGCGCACCGGGGTAGGACGAAGTCCCAGGTTACAAAAATCTTTTTGTATATGACGTCTTATCTAAGGAATTTCACTTCTAATTTCGGGGATTTTGATGATTTCTCCATTTTTACGCCGGCCTTTCACCACGACAGAAACGTACTACTGTAGCGCGTCGCAGGAACGATGTGGCCGACATTCCTCTCTCAGTCCACGTCAACGGTAGTACTTGAAGTACAGTACTACTTACAGTAGCTCCAAGCGTCACTATGCACGAATTCGAAATTTTGAATTTTTAAAATACCGTACTACCTTGGTTGAAGTTCTAGTAATCTATCCTAAGTGCCATCCATCTATTTATGCGTCACCCTGGTACGTGTGTCGCCTGTAAATGTCCACGGGGTCGTTGTACACAGTGTAGCTGTGGTTGTTGTTGTGTTCGATGGGGAAGTGGGCGGCATGTTGCGGCGGATTGGCCGGCTCGTAAAAGTCCATCAGGTATTGCATCGACTGCGAAAAGTTCTGTTGACCGGCGGGGGGTTCTTGCTTGGGAAACGAAGATGACGTGGGCAGGGAGTGGTGGTGGTGGTGGTGGGTGCTGGCTGGGAGTGGCATGTGCACATTGTTTCCAAACGACGCCGAGTTCTCATGCGAATACGACGATGGCGCGGACGAATGAAGTTGCGGCAGCTGCGGCGGCGCCCACAGCATCGAATGGTGGTTGTGATGATGTGACGGAACGTGCGACGTGGGGCGCAGGTGGCTCGACGACGTGGTATGATGCGGGGAGTGGTGAAAGTTGCTATTGCTATTGGCGCCGCTTGGTGGCAACAACATCACGTTCCTGCTCGACTTGCTCGGGTTGGCCATGTTGCTGCTACTGGTCGGCGGCGGCAGGTGTCTCGGGGCTGCGTGCATCCCACTTGTCGACATCGGTGGCTGCGTTGAGGTCTGGCCGAACGACCGAGTGCGAAGGCCACGATGGTGGCGGGCTAGCTTTTCTCGGTACTTTTGAGCATGGGTTTGCGTTTGTCGAATCGTGCGCGTGCGAACCATCTCGGCGATCTTCTTCCACGGACCTTGCGGAAACATCTCAGTCGCTTGGAGGAACCGCTCGTGCTCGTCCTTGGTCCACGTGCCTTTTCCCGACGTCGACCCATGGTCCAAGTCGCCGGCAAGCGGCGAGCTCGTGGTGCTGTGAGACGTCGTCATGTTGTTCAACATGATAGTTTGCTCGTCGTGTACGTCCTCGTGGTGGTTGGGTGCGGCAATTCCAAAATGAGAATGAAAGTGGCTGCCCACCAATTACCCAGCTCGCAACGTTACACTCACCCAGGTATTCGGATCAAGTTGGGACCATCTGTCTGATTAGGTTCCTCCAAATCATCGACGTTTACCGTGGTGTTTCTCACCGTAATTGACTGGTCGTCGGCCTGTAAGACCTCGCGGTTCGCAATCTCCAAGGGGCTCCACGCATGATCTGGCTAACGTTTGTGCCGGCTCGGGGTCGCTGCACGATACAAGTAGTACACCATTCAAAGGTACAGATGTCCACACTTTGTAATGACGACCAAGTGTATGCAGTGTCTGAAATCAACACCCAGGTCATGTTGTTGAATTCGCACTCTCGTCAATGATGCTGTCTGTCCCTATGCATGGGTGCGGAAAGCCACCCACCACCTTTCCAATCACGACGACCACAATAATGCATACATTAGTCGTCGAGCATACTGTACTGTTACCGATACATATTAACGAATGTTCAGTCGACTTCCTCTGACTCTGCATATACCGTTACGAAGGACAGCTTCCAAGTTGGCAGAATTCACAACTACGTAAACTTGCATATGTAAGCTTGGCTTTTGTACTGTACCATTGATACAGTACCAGCACGTGTATACCATATGCGTCCGTTTCTCATAAGCTTAGAAACTGACTCGGAATCTTGCCCAGGTCTTTCTTTTGCCCCGTTTCACTGTGAGTTGCATGCAACCACCATGATTTTGTTCACGTTCAGGGCCATTTGCATGTCAAACGTACGGGTAGAACGACCAAGGTTCGTGTTGGACGGGATCAACGACCGAGATTGGGTCTGCTTGGTCAAGATAATTAACTTATCAAATGAACAGAAAAACAACAGGTTCAGATGACAAACAGTGATCGATGGGTGAGATGTTGGAACGTACGTCCAAAGGAGGTCTAATAATTGTTCCCTACTACTATTTACAATGCCGTTTTCTGTCCAACACTGGGCTTCAAGTGTACACTCCATCCATGTCGAGCGGCGTCTGCGTGGCCACAAGCCCAATGTTGACGGACGTCCTTTCCACTCCCGGCATATCACTGCATCACTCCCCCCTTGTTCTGAAATCTGAGAGTTTCTGCGACACATAAATACAAACGTCAAGTTACACAACAGTGACATATTCCGTCCCGTTTCAGAATTTCATATCAGGATGGTTGCCTCACCAAGAGATAATCCATTGGGTAAGTGCAAATGCGACATTTCTCCATTCGGTAAGTATACGATTGTATTAATTTAAATTCACATAATTCACGTACGACGGACGACCTTTACTACCGTAATTCACGTACGACGGACGACCTTTACTACGTTAACTTACGAAGATTCGATATCCTTTTACGAGGCTGTTTATTACTCCAAATAGTACTTCTACTACTCCGTACTTCACAACATGCCATGTAGCTAGTACACAATGAGATTGTTGCACACTACAATTTACCCCATACATACTTGGGGAAGGGGACATCGATGAAGAATTTGGGCTAAAAGAGAAGTTGGTCGTGCTGCTGCTGCGAGGTATATGGATATTGTTGTAAATTATGATGTGTATGTGGATTTCAAGGGAAGTTGGAAGCAGATGTGCAACTACACCTAAGCTATGCTGTCATTCTGCTGCTTCCACAGTGTACCGGTAGCCACGATATCGAATCTCCGTGACGTGTATCATTTAAATGAAGTACAATCGTGTACTTACCAAACAGAGAAATGTCGCATTTGTACTTAACACCCAACGGATTAACTCCCAAGCAAAAAAGTCTCAGCTTCAGGTTGCGCATACTATAAATAGTAACACTGTACATTACTGTGCACTTCACTTCCCTTAAGTACTGTGCAGTACAGTCAAGGAATGTAGGCATTTCGACCGAAGAACCTCCGTCCGACCTTCCTACGCTTGTGCTTGTTGTCGGCTTGACTGGGGACATGGACATCGAAATAAACAGTAAGTGTTTACATACCTATTAATACTAGTAGTACACTAGAACGTCGGCAGCATGGGTGGACCATCCATTTCATTTGGCCTGTACGTACCGAGATTTCACCAGGGTTGAATGGCTCAATTATCTACGTTGTGCATACAGTATCCTATCCTATCCTCGACTGACCCCGAAAAACGTTCTTGGATAGTTACCGTTCAGTTAAGCGCCGCGTGGGTATAAAATGTTGCAAGATTTCAATCCATGTGACAACTATATTTTTAAAATATTATATTTCAGAATTACGGATATTAATAATACACCTTGCCTTTTTATCTATCGTTACACTTCAAGTACTAACAGTAAAATACTCCGTACACCCAAACCTCTGATATTTTGTACTAGTTCTACGAGACGCTAGTATGTAGTTCAGATCAACCACATCAGACCGAGAAATTTCAAACTACTATTAATAGTAAAACACTTAGGTTACATGAGGCATACTTTTTGTACGCTGACTGCCTCAACTATTACTACGTAGTACTACAGAAAGTACTGGTATTACTAGTAATACAATTCCCCGCTTTCCCACTGTATATTTTTCTCAGAATTTGGTGTTTGTAAAGGATTTACTTCGAAGTACTACCTCTGTTCCACGATACAACCGACATTGGATAAAATCAAATTTATCACGTTACTGCCGACATAACGCTACCATTGGTTGAGTAAGAAAATGCAATCATATTATTGCATTTTCTTACTTTAACCAATCATATTATTGGTTAAAATCATCACTGATGTCATTGGTGTCAACTAGCCTAGCCTAAGAGGGTAGCTGGGCAGGACAAGTTTGCCGAAAGTGTCCCGGTGCGTCGCTTGGCGTCCTTCTTGAGATGGGGTAAGGGAAAGTGGTTAGAACCGTTGTGCTCAAGCACAAGACGCATGACGGCCTGAAAAGTGTGGAAGACATTCTCAAGCTTTTCAGAGCTGAGCGCCTCAAAGGATGCAAGCGTCGATTGAATCACGTCATCAATGGAATGACTCACCACCTTGTTTTGTAGAGACTGGATGGAGGCGAAGTACCCCAAGTCGAGCACGTTCAGGTCTGGGCTATTGGGCGGTTGGCGCTGCACCACAAACGTCCAACCATCGGTGGACACACAGGCCAAGATTGCGTCGGTGATAGCGCCGTGCGGCGTCGCATTGTCATGTTAATGGACCACTCTCTTGTTGACGCTTGGAAACTTGTCCTTGATCGCAGGTATGACCCTTGTGATGACGTAGTCGCGGTACAATACTGCATCAACGTTGACGATCGTAGGGACAATCGTGCCGGCGGGGCGGTTGCGGGAGTTGCGGGCGGCGGGCAGGTACTTCACGACGAGCCACATCCTGATCTTTCCGTCGAACATGACACCACGCTTCTAGGACGTGCCACTGCTGCCAGGAACATAACTTTAGGAATGAATCGCTTACTCTTAGCCGCACGCCGCTTGATGGACTGCCCTTTGACGACGTACACCTTTCGGCGGTCATTGTCCGCGTTAAACCACTTCGTCGAGGTGCACAACGTCCCACATGGCGTCAAACTCATAGGTCACTTCTGGTGGGGTTTCGGGGTAAAATGCGGTACGTTCGATAGTATTGGCGTCCGTCAGCAGCGGTTTGAGACGAGTGTTCTTGCGCTCAATCGTTCCGTCTTTTAGGCGTCGGCTCAGCGTGCGCATGGACAGTCCGGTGGCTTGGGAGATGTCGCGCATTGTCGAGCGCTGTTCCTCCGGGACCTCACTGACGAGCGTAGTTACAATGGAAGATGTGTTGATCGTCTTGCCACCGACGCGCCCTAGTTTGCCTGACGGCATTCGACTGTTGTGTTTGAAACCTTCCCAGACGTTGGAGACAGTGGTGCGGTGCAACTGCATGTGTTTTGCAGTGGTGGAAATGGCACCACGCACTAACTTTCCCATGATTGTTAGTTGCTGCAGCCGGGTGACGACTTCCATCTTGTTCTCATAAGAGAGCTCGCGCCGGACACGGGGAGTTTCCATCTTGGTGATCAGTGCAGGTCCCTCAATTTTAAATTGTAAAATAATTATTTTGTAATTTTTTGCTGATGTCCGATGACGAAATCATATTTGGGCGCCAAAAATTGGTTTTCCTCCTTACCAGTCAATGTAGACCCCCTCTCATTTTCGATTCTCTTTCGAACATGATTGGGCTCATTGATTTTGGCCGTAAAATGAATTTTTGGGGTTACTGGAGTGAGTTGTGTCGGTTGTAACGTGGAACAGAGGTAGTAGTAGATACTGACGCCACCTCCCACTTACATGGGACATGGGATTAAGTGCATTTCAGTGGTAAGCGATAGCTAACCACTCTTAATGCAGTTAACCCCGGGGATTTAGCACTATAAGTACTCACCGGGGGTAGGACGAAGTCCCAGGTTACCGGGCTAA